TCAGCAGGGTAGGGAGGGAGAAGGGAGCTAAAGACTGAGCCCTGGGGTCGTGGGGTGCATCCTCCGGTTCCATCTGTTCTGAGACTCTCTGTGGTTACGCTGACAGAGCAGCGGCTTTGCTCTGGGCCCAGCAACCTCGGAGACCAGGACTCCTGAGCTCCCTCAGGAGTCCCCAGTCCACAAGTTGAGCAGAGAAGGGGTAACCTTGGTTTTTTGTCTAAATCACTAACTCCTTGTCCTCTCATGCCCTGCGCCCTGCTCCTGAACATCACTATGGTGTTTCACTGAGAAGTCAGCCTTCATCTCCATAGGTTCCCGGAGGCTCTGTTGTGTCTGTGCCAGGAGGAGTTCCCTGGCCATCCTCTTCTTTGGGGGCCCTGGCAGCATCTGTCCTGTTTACTGTGAGTACATCTCCCAGAGCTGGGCAGGAAACCCTGAGTGGGGTGTAGTATTACTGCAGGAATGTGGCAGTAGTCAGGTACCCGTTTTTAACTTCTAGGGAAGCTGCCCTGTTCGTACTGTTTGTTGTTCATTGTGTGATACACTGTGAAGTGTCTGCTTATGGTCAGGTGGTTGCTGAAGTAGTTCTGTGAGGACTGGGGAGGCCTCACTGACCAGGGCTCCCGTTTGAAGTCATCTGGCTTTGGTGCTGTCCGTGTATCCAGGTTGGGCAGTGTCTACTTTTCCAGTCCTGACAGGGGTGTGGTCACCCCCAGTCAGGTTTAAAGGAGACAGGCAGTGGGCATAGAACATTCTCAGGACAGGTGGGATTATGTTATGTGATGTTACCACAGTCCACATAAATTGAATATATGTATTTAAACACACAAGCACTGATGGTGAATATTTATAGAACAAGGCAGAGTAGAGCCTGAGGCATATTGAGTCGCAATGGCTGTGTTGACTGACAGTGTGAGGCACGTCGTACCAGCCACGGGAGACTTGTCAGGTGGTATGTTGGCAACCACAGAGCTTTTACAGAGAACTGGTCAAGGACCATCTCTTTCTCAGTCAGCCCAAAATAAATACTTTATAACACCTTAACTCAAGTCCAAAGGCAATTGTGTTTGAGACACTAGACAACTTTAATCGTTTTAAGAAAATCCCTTTAAAGCATAGCATGTGTCTTCATAACAGAATTTAGTAGTGTCTTGGGCTTCTCTGTTGCTTTCCATCTGGGGTAAGACAGCCCTGAAGCAAACCAGGAGTGAATGCCGCTATGAAAGCGTTTGTGGGACTGGTGTTTCAGAAAGCCCCGTATCTCAGTGCTACTGGGGGACAGAGCAGCCTTTTTGTTCCTCCTGCGAAGAGCACTGTGAATGTCACTTCCCTGCCCCCAAAACCTTGCTAGTGCATGAACTCTAAATGTTTAAGTATACCCTTCAGGACTACTGATTATAATAATAAAAACTGATAATTTTTGTAGCGATATTTACAACAAAATTATACACATTCTAGAAACAAGATACCATTCCCTTTGGTCACACTCTATCATTCTTACGTTATCAACTAACCTCTTTTCCCTGTGGTCTGATGAATTCCCCAGCCAATCTTTGTTCCTGATATTCTGCCTGCATCCTCACCTCTGTAGTACCTCTCCTTTCGGAAGGAGAAACATTCTTTCTGCATCTAACACATTTCATGACACACAGGTTCTCAGTAAGTACTTATTTTCACGAGTGACTGTATGCATTCAGTCTCTTCTCCATTCCTATTGCTTGAAATTTTTTGCCCTTCAGAGTCCACATAAAAATGTGTCTCCTCATAAAATTTCTCCAAATCATATTAAATTTGCCCCATGGTTTTCTTCTACCTAGTTTTTTTTAGCCTAATTATAGAACTTCCCATGCTATTAGTTATATTTATGACTCGTATGTCCCTGCACTGGTTTATACACTTCTGAAGGTTCAAAGCCGTGTTATAGGATCAATGGTGATTACTACAGTGCTTTGCATATTGTAGTGTAATAGAATGTTTTACTTGAAGGTCGACATTTTCTCTTGAATGTTATATGCAGGATGACTTTAATTCTCTGAGGTCTTGACCATAACATGAACTCTTCCTTATATATTGATCTATCTTTCTATAGCACAAATTTCTGTTGCTGTGTTGTTGTACGTGCTTTGTTGAGGTCTCACCTGTAAGAAAACTGGATCTTACATTTAATGTTACTGGGCTAAGGGTATCTTTTCATGCAAAAATACCAAAGGGGATTTTTCAGGCCATATGGTCTCCTTTCTGAGCTTTTTTCCATGGGGGAAGAAGACACTTGACTGATCTCAGCTTATATTCACCTTTGGTTTCTGGTGTGTAACTGGTGCTGGATGGCCAGGATTAATTTGAAATTTGGGAGCTATCTGCTGTCATGGTACTTGCCCTACTTAACAGAAAATAAATCAGTAGCGAGGCACTGAGTCTGTTCTATTGTATAAGTATTTCCATCGGAAAATGTACATTAAATTCATCTCTCAAAAGAGAAGTCTGACACTGGGGAAGAGGGTCCCCAGAGCAAGAACAGCAGGTACAGAAGCCCTGAGGTGGCTGGATCTAAGGGAGTGAGGAGTTGAAGGAAAGAAGTCAGAGAAATAATAAGGGTTTAGATCTTGTGCAGCCTAGTGGGTCATTGTAAAGATTTTTGCTTTACTTTTTGTGAAACAGAAAAGCATTCACGGATACACAGCTGACTTAGAATTCAATTCACATATTTTGAAAAGATTTCCCTCTTGCTCTGTTAAAAGTTGACTACAGAGCTCCGGCCAAGACGGAGGCATAGGTAGAAACCCTTCACTTCCTCACACAACCAAAAGGAGGATAACCACCAATCTAAAATCAATAAACAACCAGAAATGCCAGAAAATCAAACTGCATGGAGCAGCAACAACCAAGGAATTAAAGAAACAGTCAACCTGAACAACCACATTTGTAAGGCAGCAGTCTGCAAGGGCAGGACTTTCTGAACGGGAAACTGAGACCCAGGGCTGACTGGACTACGAAGGTTGCCACAGTGGGAGAAACTCCCAGTCTCACACAAGATCACTGGAAAGTGGAGCTAGAGATGGGCAGGGGAGCTGCATTGTTCCCTCCCTGGCCCCTCTCCAACAGGCAGCCTTGCAGTGCAAGGAGGGTTGCCCTGCCACCTTACAACTTAACAGGTGCCCTAAGACAAAGAAATAGGACCCGAATGAAAGAACAGAGCAAAACTTCAGAAACAGCACTAAGCAATGAGGAGATAGACAACCTAGCTTATGGAGAATTTAAAGCCCTGGTAATCAAAATGCTCACAGAACTGATTAAAGCTTGGGTTGAAAATGAAAGAACAAATGAAACATACCCAAAAGGAAATAAAGCAAAATATTCAGGGAACCAACAGTGACAGGAAAGAAACCAGGACTCAAATCAACAATTTGGAACAAAAGGAAGAAATAGCATCCAACTGGAATAGAATGAAGAAACAAGAATTCAAAAAAAATGAAGAGAGACTTAGGAACCTCTGGGACAACTTAAAATGTTCCAATATCCAAATTATAGGGGTGCCAGAAGGAGAACAATAGCAAGAAATTGAAAACTTATTTGAACAAATAATGAAGGAAAATTTCCCCAATCTGGAGAAGGAAATGGACTTCCAGGAAATCCAGGAAGCCCAGAGAGTCCCAAAGAAGTTGGATACAAAGAGGAACCCCCCCCCCATGCACATTGTTAAGTTACCCAAGATTAAAGATAAAGAGAGAATCTTAAAAGCTGCAAGAGGAAAGGAGTTACCCACAAAGGAGTGCCCATAAGACTAGCAGCTGGCTTCTCAAAAGAAACCTTGCAGGCAAGAAGGGACTGGAAAGAAGTCATGAAAGGCAAGGACCTACATCCAAGATTACTTTATCCAGCAAAGCTATCATTTAGAATGGAAGGGCAGATAAAGTAATTCCCAGATAAGGTCAAGTTAAAGGAGTTCATCATCACCAAGCCATTACTATATGAAATATTAAAGGGACTTATCTAAAAAAAAAGATAAAAAACTATGAACAGTAAAATGACAAACTCACAACTATTAACAACTGAACCTAAAAAAAAAAGCAAAAACAAAAAGGAAGCGAACTAGAACAGGAACAGAATCAGAGAAATGGACATTATGTGGAGGGTTTTCATTGAGGAGGGGGAAAAGTAAAAGGAAGAAGCGGCAAAACTGGTAGGCATAAGATAGGGAGAGGTCAAAAATAGTACAGGAAACAGAGAACTCCAAGAACTTATATGTACAATCCATGGACATGAACTAAGATGGGGGGAATGCTGGAGAGTTGTGGGGTGCAAGATGGAGAGGGCGCAAAGGGGAAAAATTGGGAAAACTGTAATAGCATAATCAGCAAAATATACGTTGACTATAGGTGAGCAAAGCTGGAAACAACTGGTGTGAGGTGGTGCTGGTTTGACCCAGAGGGTGGTGGTGGAGGTACTGGTAGGTGCTAGATTCTGGTTATATTTTAAACAATATGCTGGGAGATTGGGTCTGTGAGAGACAGATTCCTAAATTTTGAGTCTGAAGATAGAATGATGAAACTACCGTTAAATAAGATGAGAGAAATTCTAAAATAGTCAAATTGGATGAAAGAGGAATTCAGTTCTGGACATAAAGTTTACATTGTTTTTCACCCTCATGGAAAGCGCCAGCAGGCAGTTAGGACAACAGTGAGGCAATCCAGGCTGAGATCTATCTGGTCTTTCTCTTGCCCCTGATATCTCTTTGCTCTGATCTACATTTCCCTCTGCACTCGCTCCCCGAACTATAGTAGACTACAATGAATTGTAAGATTTACGAAGTAGGCCTCTTCCCCCAGAGCTAGCAACAGAGTGAAGACAAACGGACTAGAATAGACCATGATCTGCTAGGCTAAATGTGACTAGGGTGTGAGGTTGGTAGATAGGTCTCTTCCCCCAGAGCCGGCCAGCGGGCTGAGGCAGACTGTCATTCACAAAATAAGATGCCATCCATGGTAACATACAACACCGTATTAAGTCAATCAAAAACAGCAATTTCATTTAGAATTTCTTCATACATTGTGCTTTACAATGTCCTCAGCCTTCCGTTGTAAGGTAAATATGAGTGCAGCCCACTTAATATACAAGAGTTCACAGATCTTTAAGACACCAACAATCAACCCTGATTTCACACACACATCAGGAATAAAAACATAGCAGCATCAATATGAGAGTGGAATCATGTTCGTATTCCTTCTCAAAATACTTCAAATACTGTCAATGTACAATAGTTTATATTCTAAGTAATTATACATATCCAGAAATCCATCCCCTTGACATTTTCAAGCACATTTAAGTAGTGATCTATATTTTTAAACTTTGGATGATCTTCTATTATAAGTATTCTAATTTACAGCAATACCTGAATACTATTACTAACTTTTTACTGCAAATTCACTGTTATTTTGAAGTTGTTTCAATTACATACTTTGCTAAATTTTTTACATTTCAAAGACACTTTCAGGCATAAGTCTTTGGGCTTAGTGAACTGTATATTTTGGACAAAAGTCTATTACTCTTTACTATGAACGCAGAATTCAACCCCAGTTGTACATTCCCTGATAAACAATATGGTTGTAGGTCCATATATACTATTTCCTAGGATCTTCTTTTTTAAGGTTTCTTGCTAGTATGAATTCTCACATGTAAAACAATCAGTGAATACTGAAAAATCAGCTTTCAACATTCTTTTCATTAGTATTGTCTCTTTGGAATGAATTCTCAGGTTGAGTAAGTTTTGTGAATGGGTATAGTATTGCCACATTTTTTATATTTGCTAGGTTCTATCCAGCATAAATTATCCAATATTGAGGGCAGTATGAATTCAGATTAAAACTTTACCAAATTTGTTACATTTTTGAGGCTTCTCTCCCAATATATGTTCTGTCGTGTTCAATGAGATTTGGAAATGGTTGAAATTCTTGTTCAATTCTTCCAATTTTTTGATTCTCTTCCAGCATGAATTCTCCAATATTGAGTAAGTTTTGAGCACAGAGTAAAAGCTGTACCACATTCTCAAAAAATAAAAAACAAAACTAAAAATAAAGCTATGCCACATTCTCTGCATTTGTACATTTTTTCCTAAATTGAATTCTGTCATGTTGAGCAAGATGGCACTGATGACTAAAAGATTTGGCACATATACTATGTTTATATTGTTTCCCTATGATATGAAAAACATCATATGAAATAAGTTTTGAGTAGTGATTAAAAGCTTTGCACCCTGGCTGGTGTGGCTCAGTGGACTGAGCACCAACCAGCCTGTGAAGCAAAGGTCACAGGCCTGATTCACAATTAGAGCATATGCCTGGGTTGGGAGGCCAGGTCCCCAGTAGGGGACACTTGAGAGGCAACCACACACTGACATTTCTCTCCCTTTCTCCCTCCCTATCCCTCTTTAAAAATAAACAAATAAAATCTATTTTTAAAAAATAAAAGCTTTGCAACATTTATATGACCTCTCTCAAGTATTATTACTCTGATGATTACTCTCAAGTAAGGATGACTGCTTAACAGCTCTGCCATATTCACATGACTTGTCTCCAGTATGAATTCTCTTAAGGTTTAATAAGGGTGGAGGAGTAGATGAAGGCTTTACTACATTCTCTACATATATAAGGATCTTTTACCAGTATGAATTCTATGATGTTGAGTAAGGGCTGAGGACTGAATAAAGGTTTTGCCACATTCTCTACATTTTATAAAGCTTCTCTCTAGCATGAATTTTCTGATGTTTACTAAAGGATGAGGAATACCTAAAGGCTTTACCACATTCTCTACATACGTACGGCTTTTCACCTGTATGAATTCTCTGATGCTGAGTAAGGTTTGAGGATTCCCTAAAGGCTTTACCACATTCTGTGCATTTGTAAGTCTTCTCTCCAGTATGAATTTTCTGATGATAAGAAAGCTTTGAGGACTGACAAAAGGCTTTACCACATATTCTACATATATAAGGCTGCTCTCCAGAATGAATTTTCTGATGTTGATTAAAATTTGAAAACTGGTTAAAGGCTTTGCCACATTCTGTACATTTAAAAGGCTTCTCTCCAGTATGAATTGGCTGATGTCGAGTAAGGGATGAAGAACACCTAAAGGCTTTGCCACATTCTATACACTTATAAGGCTTCTCTCCAGTATGAATTTTCTGATGATTAGTAAGGGTGGAGGACTGGCTAAAGGCTTTACCACATTCTCTGCATTTGTAAGGCTTCTCTCCAGTATGAACTTTCCGATGTAGAGTAAGGTTTGAGGATTGGATAAAGGCTTTACCACATTCTGTGCATTTATAAGGCTTCTCTCCAGTATGAATTTTCTGATGTTGAGTAAGGTTTGAAGAGTGGCAAAAAGCTTTACCACATTCTTTGCATTTATAAGGCTTCTCTCCAGTATGAAGGTTTCGATGTTGAATAAGGCTTGAGGAGCGGCTAAAGGCTTTACCACATTCTCTACATTGATAAGGCTTCTCTCCAGTATGAATATTCTGATGTTGAGTAAGGGATGAAGAGTGCCTAAAGGCTTTACCACATTCTCTACATTTATAAGGCTTTTGTCCAGTATGAATTTTATGATGCTGACTAAGGTTGGAAGAATGGCAAAAGGCTTTACCACATTCTCTACATTTATAAGGTTTCTCTCCAGTATGAAGGTTCTGATGTTCAATAAGGTTTGAGGAGCGGCTAAAGGCTTTACCACATTCTCTACATTTATAAGGCTTCTCTCCAGCACATATTTTCTGACGTAGTATAAGCCCTGAAGGCCAAGTATATGTTTTACCATATTCTTTCCACTTATGTTTTTCACCAGTACAGGTTTTCTTAACTCTATTTAGATTAAAGATTTTACTGAAGACCTTCTCACACAGCAAGCATTTGTAAACATCCCCCCCAATAGCAATATTCTTTTGTTCCGTACTATCTGAAGATTCCTTATGTAATTTGACACATTTATTTTGTTTATTTGTCTTCTCCACAATAGGAATAACCTGATGTATAATGTGATTTGACATTTGGTCAAAGATGTTTCCACCTTCAAAATGGTTCTCTGGTAAATGAGTATTCTGATGTTTAAGATTTGACTTGTGGTTAAAAATTTTCCAATCTTCATGGCACTGATAACTTCTGTCTTCATTATACGGACTCTGGTAATCATTGAAGATAAAGAGGCCTTTAGTGACACCTATAATTTCATTAATCATGCATACTTATTCCAAAATTAACTATTCTGTGATCTCTATATTAAACCATGTTGGTGATATGAAAAATCATTCCCAAGTTCATGAAAACATTATTTCTCAGTGAAGTATATTATAGTACCATCTTCGCCATGTATAAAATGCACATTTTAGCCCAAAATTTTTAGTGAAAAATAAGGATATACATTTACATGGGTAGTACCTGAAATAACCAGTATCTGGTCTTGTGTTTTTTTCATTATTTGTTACATAAAATTTCTCGTCTCACAATATATTAAAAAATAATACAAAAACAAGTATCTAAATATAAATAATTGGAATAAAAATATTAGAAGAAAAGGTATCTTTTCTTCTAATTTGGGCCCAAAAGGTGGGTACACATTACACAAGGGAGTGCATGGTGCACGGCAAAATATTCCTTAATAAAGGAATTGCCAAATTTATATACACTTAGGAAATTGTTTTCAGTCTTCACTTTGTGAAACACATCAGTCTGCAAATGAACTGACAATGGGGAGTTTTCCCAAACATATTCTACTTTTCACCTCTTTGGGTAACAAGGATTTTATTATGAATAATTATCTTAGCTAAAGTTCTGTGCATTTTAACACCCTTTCTTCATGTAACACACTTTCTTACCAGGCTTTCATTACATTATTAAAGGCACACATTTCATATCTTACCAGTATTACTTCAGAGATTAAATCTTCTATTCCTGGCTTTTGCAACAAGGCCTGATAGTCCTCAGATGACAAAGCTGAAAGGTCTAAAATAAAGGATCACAGGAATGACACTCAGGTAAATTGACATTGTAATTATAAGCAATTATTGAACAAATTACATTTTTGAGTAATTAAAAACTGTTAAATGTTTAAAGCAAGATCAAAAAAGGTACAATGAGAAAAGGTTACATCAGTTCTGCCTGGTGTAACTCAGTGGACTGAGTGCCCACCTGTGAACCGAAAAGTCACCAATTTGATTTCCAGTCAGGGCACGTGCCCGGGTTGTGGGACAAGTCACCAGCTGAGTGCATGCAAGAGGCAATGGATGGATGTTTCTCTCCCTCTCTTTCTCCCTTCCTTCCCCCTATCTAAATATTAATAAATAGTTAAATAAAAATTTTAAAGATACATCAAAAAGGAAGAAATAGTTGCTTACATTTGCTAACAATACTGCTCAAAAACATGAAAGTTTTCTCTTTTTTTAAAGATTGTACTTATTTATTTGTAGTCAGAGGGGAAGGGAGGGAGAAAAAGGAGAGAAATATCAATATGTAGTTGCCTCTTTTGCACCCCCCACTGGGTCCTGGCCTGCAACCCAGACATGTGCCTTGACAGAACTGAACTGGAGACCCTTCGGTTCACAGGCCAGCATTCAATCCACTGAGCTACAAGAGCCAGGGTAGATTTTCTCATCTTTAAACCAGCTCTATAAAATTGAGTAAGAAAAATTTTCTAATGTAAAAAGTAAAACTGTAAACTACACTAAAGCATATAAACACATAAAAGTTTTGTACATGTAAATATATACACAAATGCAAAAATCAGAAATAGTCTAATATCAAGTACAAATCACTTTGATACTTCCTAAATAACTCAAATATAGAAACCATAAAATCTTACATCTGTTATTAGATGTACATCATAAAAGATATAATGTAATACCAATAATATAGAGGAGTAGAAATGGCAAGTAGTAGAGTTGTATGCAACTGATGCTGTCAGTTTAAAATTTATTCTTACAGCTTTAAAATGTTTTTAGTACACCCACCATAATAACAAGAAAAAAATGATCTCAGTTAACACATGACAAAACTGTGTAATGCAAAATCACATTAAATCCACGTGTAAAAAAATGACAGAAGCAAAACAAAATTTTCAAAATGCAAAATATAAAAACAACTCATGAAGTTGGTTGTTTTTATTTAGTAACAAATTAACACACACACACACATCCCTTAACAATGTAATTACAAAATCAATGGTATAAAGCATAATGAAAAATTTAGTAGGACTTCTGCCCTGGTTGGTGTGGCTCAGTGGATTGAGTGCTAGCCTGCAAACCAAAGGGTCACTGGTTTGATACCCCCATCAGGGCACATGCCTGGGTTGCAGGCCAGGTTTCCAGTAGGAGGCACGTGAAAGGCAACTACACATTGACGTTTCTCTCCTTCTCTCTCCCCCCCCAATAAATAAATAAGATCTTTTTAAAAAGGTAAAACATTGCTGGTAGCAATTTTATAAAATCAATAAATGAAAAATTCTGGGACTGCTTGAAAATCAACCACCATCATGAACAATACATTAAGTATATGGAGCGGGATGTTGATGACCAATAGACTACTTCACCAGAAATACATAGTCTTTAACATCTTTAACCCTAGTAAAGCAACAACACACAAAAATGAAATTCAAGAAAAACTAGCCAAAATGTGTATGGCCACACTAGATGCCATGTTTGTGTTTGGATTCAGAACCCATTTTGGTGGTGGCAAGACACTGGCTATGTCACGATTTATTATTCCATAAATTATACATAGAAAACCCCAAACATAAGACTTCCATGATATGGGTCATATAAAAAGCAAAAGCAGGATGTCTTTTGCATTGCTGAACTATGTCAGGGCCACTGCCAAGGCCAATGTTAGAGATGGCAGAAAGAAGGAGTAAATAATCTTCAGGGACTTTATTGGTGGTCATTATATAGATTTTTCATGGCAGGATTAATAAACCAGTAACTGAAAAAATTTTATCCCATGATCCTAAATCAGAATGATAACAGATAAGGCCTTGGTAGTATCCAACATGACCTAAACATTCCAAGAGTTCCCTGTTATCCTTGGCTGGTGTATTCCCAGTCAGGGAACATTCCTGGGTTGAGGGTTCAGCCCAGGTTGGGGCACGTATGAGAAGCACAAATTGATGTTTTTTTCTCACATCACTATTTCTCCCTTCCTTCCCCTCTCCCTAAAAATAAGTTAAAAAAAGTTACAAAAAGTAAATCAATATGGAATGACATAGGACACCATGAAACCAACATAACTGTACAAAGAAAGTATAGAGTTAAGGGCATCATGTTTTCTGATTTCTAAACATCTCAAAGCTGCTATTATCAAAAAAGTATATTACAAACATTAAGACAGATATTCTAATAATGAAGCACAGGGGACTAAAAAGCCTACATACAACATCTTCTGGATAAGCTCAAATGACCTTCAACAATGGTGCTGATGCTACAAAAAAAGAAAGCATAGCCCTGGCTGGTATGGCTCAATGGATTGAGTGCTGGCCTGCAAACCAAAGGGTTGCTGGTTCAATTCCCAGTCAGGGCACATGCCTGGGTTGTGGGCCAGATCCCCAGTAAAGGGTGTGCAAGCTGTCTCTCTCCCCTCCCTTCCCCTCTGTGTAAAAATAAGTAAATCTTTAAAAAAATAAAAAAAGGATATTCTTGTTCTGACTAAGCAACTCAGTTGGTTAGACCGTCCTGATATGCTAAAATGGTTGGTTTGTTCTTCAGTCAGGGCACATACAAAAAGCAACCAATGAATGCAAAATTAAATGGAAGAATAAGTCAATGTTTATCTACTTTCCTTCTTCTCTTTCTGTAATCAATAAAATAAAATATACAATATTTCTGGCTGTAATTAAAGAAGACCTTGAACAATGAAGCTTATACCACAAAATAAGAAGAAGAAGGTATTCCCATAATGTTGAGAAAGTTAGATGTCCACTGTAAAAGAAAGACTGAAGTTGGACCCTTTACTAAAATAACAGTACAACAAATATCAAATCACAATGGAGAACAAATGTAAACATTAAGCTAATAAATCTTCTAAATAAAAAGGTATGGAAAAAATTATGACTGGCTTTTTTCATTATAACACCAAAAGCAAAGGTAAATCAAATATAGACAAATATACTATATATAAAAAGTCCTGCATATTAAGGCAAATAATCAGTGGGTTAAAAACACAACCAGTGGTCAGTGGATTGAGTGCCGGCTTGCGAGCCAGACAATCGCGGTTCGATTGCCAGTCAGAGCACATACCGGGGTTGCAGACCGGTTCCCTGCAGGCCACTTCCCAGCAGGGGACGCATGAAAGGCAACCATACATTGATACTTCTCTCCCTCTCTCTTTCCCTTCCCCTCTAAAGATAAATAAATAAAATATTAAAAAAAAACACAACCAGTGGAATGGAAGAAAATTTGCAAAGTATATATCTGATTAAGTCTTTAATATTCAGAATATATAAAGAACTTTTACAAAACAACATGATAAAACACGTTAACCCAATTTTTAAAGTAGCCAAAGATAAATGGTTAATGAATCTATAAGAAAAACATCAGGATAACAAATGATACCCCCTCAAAAAAACCCTGAACCTACACACACATAAAAAATATAACTAGACCAATTTTTTATGCCATGTAAAAAATACACTCCAAATGGATTAAAAACTAAAGTGTAACACCTGAAATCATGAAAACACTAGAAGAAAAGACTCCTGATAATTCTTACACTTTTTAGGGTATAACTTGGTAGGCATAGGAAACTAAAGGAAAAAAATAAGCAAATGAGACTACACAAAATTGCTTTTTGCAAAGCAAAGGAAACCATCAAGAAAACAAACATCCCTGCCTAGTGTGACTCCAAGGTATCAGCCCCACCCTGTGAACTAAAAGGTTGTCCATTCAATTTTTAGTAAGGGAACATGCCTGGGTTGTAGGCCAGGTCCCTGGTTGGGGGCATGCAAGAGGTAACCAGCTGATGTGTCTCTCACACATTGTTTCTCATCCTCACTCAGAAAATAAATAAGGGGCTACTTCCAGCCAAGATGGAGGTATAGGTAGATACACTGTCTCCTCACGCAACCAAAAGGACAACAAATTTAAAAACAAAAAATAACCAGAACTGCCAGACAATAAAACTGTATGGAAGTCTGACAACCAAGGAGTTAAAGAAGAAACATTCATTCAGATTGGTAGGAGGGGCTGCAGACAGGCAGCCAGAGCAGAGAGGATGCGGGCAAGGTGGCAGCTAGAGGATTGGGTGGCCCCACATTTGGCTGAGGAGAAACTGAGAGAAAACAACTAGGGAGCAAGACAGTCTGCAAAACTCAAGAATCCAGCACAGAAAAAACTTCCAAACTCACAGGAGAGTTGAGTAGGAGAGAGATAAGTAGCTCTTGTCTTGAAAAATACCTAAGGTCCCGGCCTCTACAACTTAACAGATGCACCAAGACAAAGAAGTATGACCCGAATGAAAGAAGAGATGAAAACTCCAAAAATACAACTAAATGATGAAGAGATAGTCAATCTATCGGATGCAGGATTCAAAACACTGGTAATTAGGATGCTCAAAGAAATGGTTGAGTACAGATACAGAATAGAGGAAGAAGTGAAGGCTACGAAAAATAAAGAAAAATATACAGGGAACCAACAGTAAAGGGAAGGAAACCAGGACTCAAATCAACAATTTGGCGCAGAAAGAAGAAATAAACATTCAACCAAAACAGAATGAAGAAACAAGAATTCGAAACAATGAGGAGAGGCTTAGGAACCTCTGGGACAACTTTAAACATTCCAACATCGGAATCATAGGGGTGCCAGAAGGAGAAGAAGAAGAGCAAGAAATTAAAAACTTACTTAAAAACATAATGAAGGAGAACTTCTCTAATCTGGCAAAGGAAACAGACTTCCAGGAAATCCAAGAAGTTCAGAGAGTCCCAAAGAAGTTGGACCCAAGGAGAAATATACCAAAGCATACCATAATTAAATTATACAAGATTAAATACAAGAGGAGAATCTTAAAAGCAGAAAGAGAAAAGGAAACAGTTAACTACAAAGGAGTTCTGAAAAGACTATCAGCTGATTTCTCAAAAGAAATGCAAATGTTTGCAAACAAATGTTTGCATCCTCCATTGAAATACACACATAATACAATATATCACATCACAATAATTAGGATGACCAGTATCAAAGAAACAATATCAAGTGTTTCAAAAAAATGTGGAGAAACTAGACCCTACATACCATTGAATGAAAGATAAATTGGTACAAACTGAATGAATAACAAAAAGTGTTCTGTCAAAGAATTAAAAAGTAGAATTGTTTTGTTAGTTAGCCCTTCACTTCTGGTATTTATCAAAAAGAATTCAAAAGAGGATTTGCAAAAGACATGTACACACCTGTGTCAACTGTAGTATTATTCACAAAAGCCTGTATAGGTGAAAGCAAACCCATGTCTATGGATAAACAGATGAAAAAAATATATACCTACAATGAAAAACCACTCTGCAGGACCTAAAAAAAAATCTTATCATGTGATACCACAGAGACAAACACTGAGGACATTTTTTTTTAAGTGAAGCACACAAGTCACAAAAAGACAGACATTATACAAGTCCACTTAGGTGAGTAATCTCATGAAGTCCACCTCATAGGGAAAAAAAGGTAGTTACCTGGGCCATGGTTTCTAAACCAGAGTACCTCCAATTCCTCCCTTGAGACCAAGAACCTAAGAGTTACCATACAAAGCAGAAGTGCCCAAAAGATGTTAAACTAATACAGAAAATGAAATCCTGCGGGTGTAGTAGGTAGGAACTCTGAAAGGAAGTCATCCTCACCCAGGGAGACCAGGTTGCTGTAGTTCTCCAACATCACATCTGTGTACAATTTCCACTGAGCTGGGTCCAGGAACTCCAACTCCTCCTGAGAGAAATCTACTGCCACATCTCTGAAGGTCAACGATCCCTGATAAAAAGGACACATTTACATTGGAGCCATAGACCAACTTCATACTGTCATCCTAGGACAGTATCCTGAATTAGCTCATAAAATCATATTGACCCAAAACATTTTGTAATACATTTTATAACACTGAGAGATGAGGATGACACAGGTCCACAAATCCACTGCAAATACTTTTCATGAAAATAAACATTAAAATGAAGGAACAGACACAAATATATGGATTGTTGAGTGTTGTACTTTTATCCTTCACAATCCATTGTGTATATTTCTCAACTGGAAAACACATGATGAGAGAAAAGTATAAGTACTATTTCATATTTCAGACAACAAAGACCTGTAGATTTGTAAAAATGCAGATTTTGATTCAGAAGTTCTGGGATGCACCCTGACTGGTGTGGCTCAGTAGATTGAGTGCTATCCAGCAACCCAAACAGCATCTGGTTTGATTCCCAGTCAGGACACATGCCTGGGTTTTGGGTCAGGTCCCCAGTGGGGGCCATGTGACAGGCAACCACACATTGATGTTTCTTCCCCCCTCTTTCTCCCCCTACTTCCCCTCTCTAAAAATAAATAAAATCTTTTAAAAAGAATATCAAAACTTTATTTAAAAATTTTGTACATATAATCTTAGAACAAGATTATTCTTCCTGTGTTTTGAGAATATCTTCTGAAACATAAAGGGTACACCTTGACTTTCACTCAAACTTCACCTACAACTTAAAAAACACACAGGCAAATACACTAAAGATCTCATGAATGTTCACTGCAGTTTCTGTAGGTAAGAATGAAAACAGCTTGAGTATGACTAAAAACTCAAATGTTAACATTTTACACAGACATACACATGGAAACTAGGTACAAAATAAGTGGTAGAAAATAGAATTTTCATGTCAATGATATTAAGATTATATTGTGATTCTGTAAATATCATCACTCTACTGCTACTTGTGGATGATACCCTTTGTGTTTTAGAAACACAATAGGTACAGGAACACACATAATGATAAAAAAGCAGTGAAAGCCATGGTTAGTTTTTTGTTTGTTTTTTTAAATATTTCTGGGTATCAACAGTGGAGAGCTATATCTTAGAAATTTAAATGAACTGAACATACATTAATTTGATTCTTGTAAACTCTTGAAAATACAAAAAGTGATAATGTAGAGTTAGTAATACAAAAGTGAATATAACGAAAATTTACCGAAGGAGATATGATTAATTAAATTCTCCATCTCTAAAGCCAATAATCTCTAGGAAATGAACAGAGGGCCTTCATTTTCCAAAGGGAAGAGAAATTAAATTTCCAGATGAAATGTGATGCTTTGGGCACATCTCTTGATAATTCTCTGCTGGACCCTAGTTAATGATGAAGGGAAGCTCTTAACTACATAGTGAATGAAGAACAGGTCACTGACGCACATGGAAGGACATGTCATCACTGCTGTGACATTACTGGCAAAAATAAATACATAAATCATTATGTGAAAATGATAATAAACATTAATTTTTGCAAATGTCAATACACATGTACCTTCCATGTTTTCTAGACAAATACTGTACTGCATTTAAAGGCAAGAGCCCTGGCTAATGTGGCTCAGTGGAGTGAGCACCAGCCTGCAAACTGAAAGGTCACTGGTTTGCTTCCTAGTCAGGGCACACACCTGGGTTCTGGGCCAGGTCCCCAGTTGGAGGCATGTGAGAAGGCAACTGATTCATGTATTTCTCACACACTGATGTTTCTCTCCCTCTCTTTCTCCCTCCCTTCTCCTCTCTCTAAAGATAGATAGATAGATAGATAGATAGATAGATAGATAGATAAATAAATAGACATTGGTGCCTTCCCAAGTTAATCTGTCAGAGGGGATGGGTTCAGTAGTGGAAGGTCATTAATTTGGGATGGGAATTCCTCATGTCTTTGGGGAAACTGGATAAAGAGAATGCAGAAAAGCCTATAATACAATGAACAGAAGTACATGAACGGCTGACCTTGACAACCATAGGAAAAAGGAAAAATAAGTAGATAAAAACAACCTCACTAGGCAAGGACATTAGAAGGAGAGAAATAAAAGTTGCCTGCTCTTAATCCACTGACAGGAAGAAAAGCAAACATAGCCACTGACCCAGGACACATTGTTTACTTGAGAAGCAGCCATGTCCTCCTGGTCCTGGTCCTGCTCCTGCTGTTGGCTCGTTTTTCCTGGATGATATGCTCAGGAGTCACATCTGTACTTTGAGGATGTACCTTCAAAGGCCTCAGCAAAGCCCCTTATTCTTCTACCACACACACACAGGCAGAAGAACCTGGAAATGTCGCAGGAGAGTCAGGAACAGACTTCCACCTACATGGAGACCACACTGTGAGTTTTTCCTACTTTTCAAGTGCTTTCTCCTCCCACAGATGTCCAAAACCTTTTACAGTAAAGACAACATATGTTACTCTCCTGAACCCCAAACCCAGCAGAACATCCTATTACTTCCCCCGACTAAAGATTGCTGTTCATGCTTACAAATGCATCTGGGCATACCTTTCCCTTCCCCTTTCCTTTCCCTCACACCCTGTAGAAAACCTTTACCTTTCTTTCTTCTAAACTCCAATGGTCCTTCTTATGACTCCATGTCTTATTCCCTGACCCCACTTCCTCTATGTGTGACTAAGTAAAAAATTTTTTATGAAAAATCAAATGCATGCCCATGCCCTGGTGACTAAGTTGGTTGTAGCATTTTCCTGTACACAGAAAAGGTTGTGGGTTGTACTCTAGATCAGAGTACTTACCTAGGCTGCAGCTTCAACCCTTAGTCTCAGAGCATGTACAAGGGCCCATTGATGTTTCTTTTTCACATCAATATTTCTCTCTCTCTCTCTCATCAATAAGCATATCCTTGGAGGGGGATTTTTTTAATGCACCCCAAAGCATTCCTGTTAATCCCTGAACATACCTTAGTATCTCCCGAAGCTCTTCATTGAACAATGATGCTCCATCCAGAGAAGTTGTCCAACTCTATAGAGGGCAACACACCCCATGGCATTTGTCAGAACTTCTCAGGTGACTTAGCGGGATTCTAAAGGGAAACAATGTAGCTTTAAAAAGCATGCAGACACAAAGGGAATGAGGCTCCACTCTAAGTTATATTATAATGCAGTGCAGCCCACGAAGTGGCGTTTTTATCTAGTTCCCTCCTGATACCTGGGTTGCTCCACCAAAGCTGTTTTCTGTACATTGGGCCAGGCTTATCAGAGCCATCACACCTCAGACCTCTGGGTACTGTGAGGAATTTAGGCAGCAACTTCTAAAATGACAGGCTCCAAGGGCAAAAGGCTTTTTTTTATTACCCAGGAAAAAACAAATAATTATATTAAAAGCATAAAATTATAAAGGTAAGTTTTTAAAACTTTTTGGTAGATTTATTAGAATCTATAGATCACATTATCTGCAAATCTTCTGATCGTATCATCAGCAATAGTGGGTTTTTTGGGGGAAGAGACAGATTTTTTAAAAATTATTTTGTTGTTGTTCAATTACAGTTGTCTGTATTTTCTCCCCATCCCAAAATGCAAGTTTTGATACTAAAACTTAAAAGAAATTTAGCTATGAAAACATGTCCATCAAATTTCACAACCAATAGATGGGCTTTCTGGAAACCATGTTTCAGGTTAATTCAGTCCTTCCTTCAATATTTTCAGAGAATGGACAAGAGGAACTTCAGGGAAACAGCTACTTTGTGGCTTACAGTCACTAATTCAACAAGTAACATAAATGCAAGAAAAAGCTGCTGAACATTAGGTGAACTCATAAAAATAGGTTCTAACAGTTAAGATTATAGACATCCTTACCAAGTGCATGCTGAAATAGCCTGATATTATTGACTAAGTACCAATGTATGTTCCAACATATTACAAACAGTATAATGAATGCAGGGCTCAGATTTTAAACCAGGCACAATATATTTAAAAGAGAAACTATTGTGGAATTTTCTTTAAATGACTTCTATGGTGAAAGTTTAAAAAATGCTGAGACTACCCCATATTTAGAAAAGAATGTTAAGTACTAGTTAAGAGATATCACCAATGCTCATTTCAGAAGTGAATGACTACCTGCACAAAAGCAGATATTCAACAGACTATGGTTTATCTCAACGTGTTCTCAAGAAAATAAATTCAACGGGAGATGTAAAACAACAAGAGTAAATCCACAGCACAGAAAGGCAGGTCCCTGATCTCTAAGTGAATGAAGGTTGCAACGGGAAGCAAGCAATTCTAAAATTCACAAACCTTTTAAGCTGGAAATTTGTTATCCTCATTCAAATCTGTTTAACTGAAACAACTCAGCAAATGTTAAACTAAATAGATTATAAAGCCACAACCCACAAATCACCACATAATCCTCCACATCCCCTCAAGTCACCATTCATCCATATCGGGTTCCCCCTTCTCCTGCTACTCTGTACTTCTATGTATGGATCTGTTTCTGCCTCTTCCGTGTTTCTCTTTACTGTTGTCCTTTCCTGTGTTCGCTCTACTCGGTCCCCTGCTCTTTCTCCCCTTTTCGATATTCCTCTACCTACCTGTTCCCTCAAATAACTGCTCCTTCAAACCTATTTCACCTTCACTTGCTCTTCCTCCCTGATAGTAGATTGCTCCCATCGCCATACACTTCCGCGTACCCGCCCAAGCCTGTGTCATCTCTGCTGCCCCTTTTATTAAGTCTTTCCTGCTGCCGCCGCCGCCGGCAAACTCTCAGTGCTGTTTCTCACTCTGATTTGTCTCCTCAAACAGCCTTTCTGGCCCTTCCCTCTCCCCCTCGACTCTTCTCAGAACTACTACCTCCGCCTGACCGGCTTCACCCTTTGCTGCCCCCACACCTGCTCAGAGGCCCCTCTCCCTGTCAGCTCCTCTCGTCTCTGTGGGGCTCCTCTATCTCCCCTCCTAAGTCCCACCCCATAAACTGTGCACTTCTCTTGGATTCAGGTCTCGTATTAAATCGGGAGTGGGGTCTGCGGATCCCCGCGGCCAGGGGGAAATCCGGGTTCCAGGGACTAAGAGTGGAGAGGCGGGGGGAGGGGTGCACAGGCTTTGACTGCATCTCCAGACTTTAATGGGCGTGCGGTGGGAGTGCTGCCCAGGGAAGTGCTTTCAGCAGGAAAACCTTGAGCCAGGCGGTGTCCAGTGATCTGAAGGCTGAAAGACCTCGGGCCAGAAGGCCCCAAGTTTCCCATAAACGAACACGGAGTGTCTCACGGGGACACAAGACTCACCGCTGTAGGAGGCTCGGGAGCGGGGATTCAACGTCTATAGTAACTTTCAGGCTTCGCGGGCGTAGGGAGAGCTGAAAAATCAAATTTCAACCTGAAAAACCGAAACTTGCGAGGACCAAGTGAACATTTCTATTCCAAGACGCTTTCGCGTCTGGAAGACACTGCGCATGCTCCTTAGGTCGGCAGATGGGCGGAGTCAGAGTTTGGGCCCAGCACCTCCTAAGTGAGGAGGGCAAGTAATGGAGGAGGGAGGGGGCCTGGGAGGTGGGGTACGGAGAAGGTTTGGAAAGGACTAGTCCCGAGCAGAGATGAGGAGTGCAGGGAAAGGGCAGTCACAGGGTTGCGGCTTGGGCTCCATTCCAGCTAGCTCACCTTGATTGTAGCCTTCCTCGTTCACTGCTTTTCCTTTATCCACATAATTATTGCTAAAATTGGTAACATTTCTTTTCAAAACTACTATTTTGGTGACCTTCCAATGATTACATTTTGCCTAAGGTCTTTGCCACCCCTTGCAATTTTTTTCCCCAGGAGTGTCACCTTCTTGAGTCTGTCTATAAAATGGCTCTGGGAGGGAAAAGGGCAGGTTCTGGGGACCGAATCTGAACACAGTGCTAGGGACACGAGGCTAGGCCTGACAAATGGCTGGGCATGTGCAGTGACAATTAGGGAGTGAACGAGTGCCCTGTGTGGACCTCCTGGGGAGTGGCCTGAATTTCAGGAGCTCTGCTTTCAAATTATCCTTTTCAGATTTAAAAATGCTGCCATTGAAACCGGAAAAGTTGGCATTTGTTTTGCCTGCTACCAACAGTAACAAGATGTAGAGATAGGGATTGAAATTTTATGGAGGTTTTATGCAAATGGCCTGAGATCTGAGAAAATGGTGGGTTATGTACCCTAACACACCTTCTTATATTTCATTTTAAACCAGCTTTTTATAAGGAGAAAAATATATAGATAAGGGGTTTGAAATTGGGGGCAGGAGGGTGGGGAATATAGATACAAGGTTTGGATTTAATGCAAAAGGTTAATGAGATAAAAACTGCAGTCCAGCAATCTCTTTACCATCCTTTCATCTGTTGACAAGTGGTTCTTTTTCTTTATTTAAATATTTTATTTATTGATTTTAGAAAGAGGGGACAGGCGGGAGAAAGGGAAGGAGAAACATCAATGTGTGGTTGTCTCTAGAGTGCACCCAACTGGTTCACAACCTGGGGAAGGGGCCTGACTGAGAATCGAACCAGTCACCCTTTGATTTGCAGGTCAGCACTCAATCCAGTGAGCCACACCAGTCAGGGCAGTAGTTGAAGGTCTTTAATAAAGGCAGAATTCTTCATCTTGGGCAGCTTTGATAAAGATAATGCAAAGAAGGCTCTGGGACAAAGGAGAAATGTATATAAACTGCTGACCTTGGTCATCATAAAAAGAAAAGAAATAACTAGAGGAAAATCTCACTAGGCGAGAACATCAGAAGTAGAGAAGTAAAGGTTGCAAGTTCTAAATCCACTCATATTAGGTGGAAAAGCAATCATAGCCTTTGACCCAGGACACATCCTTTCCCTGAGAAGCAGCCATGTTGTCCTGGTCCTGCTCCTCCAGCTCTGGGTTGTTTTCTCAGGTGATGACATACTCAGTAGTCAAGACTGCATTTTGAGGATGTGTCTTCTAAGGCCTCAGCACAGCCCTTTTATATAATTCCACCACACTCACTGGCAGAAAGATGTGGAAATGCTGGAAGTGTCACTCTCCCTTCTTTGTCACAGTCAGGAACAATAAGCTTTCTTTCTGCTTTTGTGTTGATGAGACACCTCAAGAGTTAGAAAGTTAGTTTTAAGTAGTAGTTTATAAGCTTAGTAGTGAATGCATGTAACAAAACTATTGTTTCAGGAACTGAATGTATGACTCACCCTGACTCCAAAAGAATACAGGCGATTCTACTTTTGTGCCCCAGGAGGACTGCAAAAAAATGAAGATCATATCTGACCCATCTGGGCTGAGATCACTGATGAAATTTTAATCTAGCAGGATTTATTTGCCAGATCATCCTTTAGGAGAGGCAGGCTGGACTCTATATGCAGATGGAAGCAGTTGTGGGGACGAAGAAAACAGAAAGGCTGGTTATGCAGTAGTGAGTCTTGAAGGGGTAGTGGAGGCCAAGGCCTTGCCGCCCAGAACCTCTGCTCAGAAAGCTCAGCTGATTGCATTGACGAGAACACTGAAATTGTCACACAAAAAGAGAGTGAATGCATATACCTACTCAAGGTAGGTTTTTCTGATTTGGCACATACAAGGTTCCATCTGGAAAGAAAGAACACTGTTGACCTACAATAGAAAAAGTAGAGTAATCATAGAGCAGAAATTTTAAAATTATTACAAGCCGTTCAGGTACCTTTATAGGTGGCAGTCATTCACTGTCTGGTGCATCAGAAAGAGGACACTGAAATCTGGCTGATGGAGCAGTGAAAGAGGCTGCTAAATGAACCCTTATAATACCTTTGTTACCTATTCTAGATTTGTCACAATTTGACGTTGAATATTTGACCGTAGACAGAGATAAAGCTAATAGCTAGGGTTTATCTGAAGAAGGTCCTGATAGTAGATAAAGAATAAGAAAAGAGCCATACTGCTTCCTGAACAATTGATAGAGCCAGTCATGAAGCGTTTGCAGGAGATGACTCACTATGGAAAGGGCTCTTTAACTGCTTATATTAAATCACGGCTCACAGGTCCTGGAATTTCTAAAGCCATAAGAAAAGTAATTGCTAGATGGGTTGTGTGCCACAAGAACAGCCCCAACACAGATCTCCATCAAAATAAAGGCTTGAGTGACGTAGCTCAGTGGGTTGGGCATCATCTCACAAACCAAAGCCTCACTGCTTCACTTCCCAGTCAGGGCACGTGTCTGGGTTGCGGGCCAGGTCCCTGGTGGGGTATGTGAGAGGCCACAGATCCATGTTCCTCTCACACATCAACATTTCTCTCTCTCTCTCTTCCTCTCCTCTCATGTCTCAAAAAGTAAAATATTATTTCCCTTTCATAAAAAGAAAGGGAAATAATAACAAGAACAGGGCCCATTTAAAGATTGGCAAATAGAATATGCCCAGTTGCCAGGGGTCCAAGGATGGAAACATTTGGTAGTCTTTGTTGACACCTTTTCAGGATGGGTAGAGAGGCCTATCATAGTAGAACTGAGATATCCTCAGAGGTAGTGAAAGCCTTACTGAAAGAAAGCCTTACTGAAAGAGGTAGTGAAGCCTTCCTCACTTTCACCTACCCAGCAGCATCAAGAGTGGTAGTGGAACTGCTTTCGTTTCAGAAATTACATAGAAACGTAGTAAATTTTTAGGAATCAAGTGGAGACTGTGTTACAGAACAGATCCGAAGTGGGGACAAAATACTGTTACCAAATGGACCCCCCCAATTCTCCCAGGGTCCTCCTGTACCAGGTTCACCTTCCCTGCTGCCAGGGAATTATAGCTCTCAATGCCACAGATTGGTAAAAAGGAAAGGAATTATTTATTCAAGAGTTATATAGACTTAAGAGTAATGACTTGATGTGCTCATTAAAATTCCAAAGTCCCTTAAGACACCCACCAACACACACAGTCCTTCCTTCCCCCCTTTGCCCAGTCTGGAGTAGCATATCTCAGGAAAACAAATAGAAGTCCATGGCTCAGGTAGTCCCTGGTTCTTCCCAAAAACCCAGGCTCCGCTGGCAGGCCTCCTGCAGTTCCCAACACCATTAGCTGTATTGCCAGGATCTCCAGTTCTTAATTTAAACCCGTGTGACATCTTCTCCTGGCGAAACAGCAATAGTCCTTTCACCCCTTTCCTTTGGGGAGCATCTCTCCTGCATTCTTCCAAACTGCTAAGAGAGAGCCCTGCATCGCTGCTACATCTTGCTTTCTGGTTTCCTAAGCTGCTTGGCAAAGGGAGCTCCAAAGCCATGTGTTTCCAGACCTTGCCAAAACTGTGTGGTCCTCCATCACCAAAGTCCTGTGGTTTCCCTATTGCAAAGGAGCCACGCTGAGTTTTAAAATCCCAGTGCCAATCTTCCTCTGTATCTCCATTTCCGACTCCTCCCACAATTAGCTACACCTGCCAACATTCCTGTATTTTTCCAGCTTTTCTGGGCTGCCATAATAAGTCCAGGCATGCTCAGCCCAGTGGTGTGGAGCCAAGTTCTTATTTTCTTATGCAAGTTCCTCTACAAAGTTCTTATGCATGACGCTGTAACCGGGGGAGTTGCCTCTCAGTTACATCCTGCATGGAAGTCTCTCCCATATCCCTGGCTCAAAGCATGGCTATATATATATATATATATATATATATATATATATATCCATGAAACCAGTTAAAAGTTACAGATATATTAAATGACATATCTATATGTCATTTAACATATAGTTATGTTATTATCTATAACATATCTGCTGAGGTTGTTTGCAAAACTTGCTGTGCAAAACAACTCTCAATGGCCCTGCTCCATGTGTCCCATGTCCCGTTTCAGACTGGTGGAGATGAAGACATCCTATATTTTTAATATTTCCTAGATACCCTGAGTTCTGGACCCTATTAAAATCCCTCTTTGGGGCCCCCCTGGCTGCACCCTGTTACAATTCCACACCACATGGAGAGCCCAGGCTTCTGGGAAGGTAGAGAAGATGTATCACACCTTGAAGCAAAATGTAAAGAACCTGAGTCAAGAAACTCATCTCCACTGAGATCAAGTTTTACCTATTGCCCCGCTCGGGGTAAGGGTAGCTCCTTGAAGTGGGATTCACTTGAGTCTTTATAAAATTCTGTACAGGTGACCATTTCAAGCTATGTTTAGAGTGGGAGATATGAATATAGATCAAGATGTGAAGGTAAAGAAATAAGTACAACATTTAAGTCAGAACTTAGCTGTAATTAATGACCTTGTTTGTATTAGACACCTTTGCCCACAGGTTTGCTGCATTCCTTTCAGCCTGGGGATAAGGTTTTACTTAACCCTTGGAAGACAGAATCCCAGAGAGCTTCCTAGAAGAAAAGTGAACTGGACCTTGGGACATACTCCTCACCAGCCCAACCTCAATGAAGTCAGGATGACTAAAACTTTAATTCATCGCGCCAGACTAAGGAAAGCACGAGAAGAACAATGGACCACCAAACCACAAGAAGACCTGAAAATCATCTTTCAAAAACAGTGACTTATATTCTTTTCATTACTTTTTGTTTAACCCCATTTTATGGAGAACTTTTTTCTTTTCAAATTGAAACCAGAAAAGGCTGTGTTCCTGCTGCTTCTCACATACCAGATCCAATAAGTAGAGAGAGGGATTGAATCTTTACGGACACTTTATTCAGATAGATGGCGATCTGAGAAGAGGGCCCATTTGTACCCTAGCAGATCATCGTAAATTCCATTTGAAACTGACCCTTTTTATTAGAAGGAAAGTGTAGGTAAGGGATTGGGAATTCAGGGAAAAAGTTAATCAGATAAAAAGCTGCAGTATTCTTTACTCTGTGTCTAGGGCAGTGGTTTTTATCTCTGCCTTGGGCAATACTCTTTATCAGTGTCACCCTGGAGTACAATGGCTCAGATACCATCCTGATGGCTTGCAGTCCTCCTGAAGCACAAAGATGGAACTGCTTATGGTTTCCTGGAGTCAGAGTGGGTTATACCATCAGTTCCTGAAATAGCTTTGTATATACATTGATTACTAAGCATCTTAGCTGTTACCTGAAAGTAAAATTTTTCCAACATTGGAGCCCCCCATCAAGTGGGATGAAAGTATTTGGGTATATTTAGCACAAGAGGATCTAAACATCTCTTGTCTTTCAGGAGGAACCTATATCAAACAAACTATCACTTCATGTCTTGTAGGTGTTTGTACTTCCCTGGAAAGCCTTGAAATTTATACTTTGTTTCAGCATATCAATAAGACCATAACCTCTGATATTTATCATTGGGGACCTGCAGTAACTCTAAAGGACAGGGAAATGTCTTCCTTAAAAGTCACTTATTTAGCCCCAGTGGGAAAGTGCACAACTTTTGTCGAATGTACTAAAAAGAGTTCTATGCTTTTAGCAAATGGAAATGAATTGCAACATCACCACTAATGTATCTTATGCCGTTGGCCAAGTCAAGTTGCCTGCAGGATGGTTGCTATCAATAATACGTAGAAGGACTGTTTATTCCTATGTTCCAGTATATACTTCCGGGGGACCTTGCTTTCTAGCAAGACTGACAGTGTTTATGCCTCAGAAGCCCCACAACACTCAGGCTCAAGGGAACTCTGTCTTTCACCTGATTACAATAGTGATTTGTACCTTTTTAGCTCCACTGAATATGTATCTTTGACTATATTTCCTTTTATTAAAATTAGGCACGTACCCTGACTGGGAATTGAACCTATGACCCTTTGATTCACAGGCCAGCACTCAATTCACTGAGCCACACTAGCCAGGGCTGACTATATTTCTAATGCCAGCCATGGTAATCTTTTTGAATACAGAAATAAGATTAGCCTGTGCTATGGTAAAAGCTTTGAATGCTACCTCTCAAGCCATAGGTATCATCAGTCAAGAACTAGGGTAAGTTGGAGAATTGATATTAGAAAATTGGACAACTATGACTCTGGCTGCTGTGGCTCAGTGTGTTGAGCGACAGCCTAGGACATGAAAGGTTGCAGGTTTGATTCTGCCTCAGGACACATGCCTGGGTTGTGTGCCAGACCCCCAGTTGAGAGTGTGCGGTGGCAACCACATATTAATGTTTCTCTCCCTCTCTTTTTCACTCCTTTATCCTCTTGTTAAAATAAATAAATAAATAAATAAATAAATAAATAAATAAATCCTATCAGAAAAAGAAAATCACACAACTATGGGTTACCTTCATAGTTGTGAAGTTGATCCAAGACATAATCATGGATATGAAGAACTTAAAGGACTCTGCTGTTGCAAACTGACTGATAATTCACATCTCATAGAACATAAAATAAAGCAAGTAAATTAAGAAGTATCCAAGATATAACAAAGAGAGGGATTCTTTTGTATTGATTTGTCTAAACGAACTTTCTGGTTGCCTAGAAATACTGGCATTCGAGGGGCAGTTGTTGTTTTTATTCTTTTCATCTCTTTCAGTTTTATAAGCTGTTGTACACAATGTGCCCCCTCTTATGTGGATCTGCAATAAAGGAGAAAGAGTGGGAGAGAAACATCAATGTGTGGTTGCCTCTCTTGTGTCCCCTACTGGGGATCTGGCCTGTAACCCAGGCATGTGCCCTGACTGGGAATCCAACCGGTGACCCTTTGCTTTACAGGCCCGTGCTCAATCCACTGAGCCACACCAGCCAGGGCTGATTACTTCTATATGAAACTGATCTCATAGAAATAAGGTAGTTTGGACTAAGAGTGGGGGAATTATGAGGGAACTGGAGTTGCAAAATTTTAGTTTTAAGTAATAGTTAATAAGCTTAGTAATTAATGCATATAAAAAGCTATTGTTTCAGTAACTGAAGACATGACCCACCCTGACTCCAGGGGACCACAGTCAATTTGACGTTTGTTTCAGGGAAGGACTGCAAGCAATCAGTCTGGCATCTGAGCCTCTGTGCTCCAAGGAGGTACATCCTGACCCCCAGATAAGAGATAAAGAACCACCTGTCAAAAGATGAGCAGATGCAAGAGAGATTGTGGGATCGCAACTTTTATCTGGTTAATCTTTTCCTTTAATTCCAAACCCCAATCTACAATTTCTCCTGAATTCTAAACCCTTTAACTACACTTTTTCCTTCCTTATAAAAAAGGTTGGCTTGAAATGAAATGTAAGATGGTCTTTTAGGGTACATAACCCTCTGTCTCCACACATCGCCAGCTATCTAATAAAGCGTCCACAGAGAGTCAATACCTGTCTCTACTTATTGGGTCAGGTTTTGACAAGCAAGACAAATGCCAACTTTTCTGCTCTCATACCAGCATTTTTAAATCTGGAAAAGAAAATTTGGAGGCAAAGCCCATGGAAGTTCAGGTTTCTCTACAAGCAGGTCCACAAGGTGGCATTCACTTCTTCATTCTAAGTGTGCTCGCCTAGCATCCTGTTAGGCCTCCAGCCCTGTTGGTAGCGATCTCCGCCCAGACTCTTCACCCAGAACGCCCCCTTTCCCCTCCAAGCTCCATCTTGTAAATATTGAAGAAGGTGAGAGTCCAAAGGGAAGGTCACATTGTGTGGCAAAGATCTTAGCTAAAATTTTATTATTGGAGGGTCACCAAAATATTGATTTTGTAGCGAAATCTTACAAATACTAGGGATAATTATGTGGCTAATTAAAAGGGATGACTAAGGAAAGCCTATAGGAGACAGGTGGAATGGCGCCCAGGCCAAGCCACTTCATTAGCCCCTCCCCTGTATTTCTCGGCTCGTCACAGCCACGCGCTGTGGACGCCCGAGCGTGCCCCGCCCCCCGCCCCGCCCCCCTACCCCTCAGTGTCAAATCGCTCATCTGCGGCTTTGCCCCGCCCATCCACGGAAAGTGTTAGGAGCATGCGCAGTCTCTGACAGACGGCTACTACTAACTGGAGAAATAGAGGTCTCTTCTTGGTTACTTAAGTGGTTTGGTTTACCCGGTTGAAACTTCTCCAAGTCCTCATTCCTAAGCAGGAAAAGGCTGAGGATCACTACGGACGTTGAAACCCCTACCAAAGACTACGGCGGGGGAGTGTACGGCGGTGAGTCCAGGGACCCTGAGAGACCAGTAGACACTCCGCGTCCGTTTGTGCCCCTCTCCCAACCTCCTCGCTCAAGGCTGGTTGCATCCCGACTTGGGCATCTGCGTCCGCCCCACCTGAGGCCTCCTCCTCCCCATTAAATAAGAGGCCCGAATTCTAGGACAGCACACTTCCCATAGGGTGGGTCTGAGGTGGGGAAATCAGCCCCACGCGGGGAGGGGCTTTGTGGAAGCGGTGACAGTGAAGGAGCGGCTGGGGAAGCTGCAGAATGAGGCTGTGAGCGGATCCGGAGGTCGAATGAGAGAGACGGGCACGCGAGGGGGAGAAAAGGTCCAAGAGGAACCGTAGGGGACGTCAGCGCGGGGGAGGTGGGAGGGACGTAGGAGTGAAAGGGTAAGTGGGGAAAGGAGTCGGAAGAGGAAGACAGGGGAGAAATGCCGAGGATACGGGGGAGCCCCAGAGAGACTAGGGGAGCTGACGGGGAGAGGGGCCTGCGAGCAGACGTGGGAGTAGTAAAGGGGTAGACGCTTCAGACGGAGGGAGTAGTTCTGAGGAGAGTCGAGGGGGAGAGAGCAGGGACAGAAAGGGGGGTTGGGGAGACCGATCAGAGGGAGAAATAGCACTGAAGTCAGCCAGCTGTGGGGGTGACAGGGAAGACAAGGGCCGCAGAGGGGACACAGCTATGGCGCAGGTGGGGTGGGGTGGGGATGAGTGTGGAGATGGGAACAATCAGATCTGGGAGAAAGAGCAAGTGAAGATGAAATAGGTTTCTCTTGCTTCGCGGAACATGTGTAGGGACAGAAATAGAGAAAAGAGGAGAAAAAGCAGGGAAGGGGAAACACAGGAAAGGATGAAAGTGCAAAGAAGGAGGGAAGAGGCAGAAGCCGATCCAGGCACAGAAGTACAGCGTAGCAGGACCAAAGTGAACCTGGATGTGGATGATTAAATTGTGAGATGTCAGCTTATGGTTTTACAATCTGTTAATATTTAACATTTCCTGAATTGTTTCCCTTAAGAACATTTGACTTAGAATTACAAATCTCTGATTTATAAGGATTGTGAATTTTATAATGAGTTGCTTGCATGTGCAACTTTTATTCACTCAGAGGTCCAAGACTTGTCTGCCAGTCATGGCTCCCTTTTCCTGTCCTGGAATGGCAACAGGGAGGTAACCTGGGATGTGAAGTAACTGAGTCTGTTACCACATGATGCTTTTTCCAGTGATATTAAATCCATTGGTTCTTTTTCTCTGTCTCCATTGTATTTGCATTTTTCCTTCTAACTCTTACATTGAATCTATTTATTTTTATTTATTTTTAGAGAGAGGGGAAGGGAGGAGGAAAGAGAAACATCAATGTGGTAGAGAAACATCCATAGGTTGCCTCTGGTACTCCCCCAACATGGGACCTGGCATTCAACGCAGGCCTGTGCCCTGACTGGGAATCCAGCCTTTGACCTTTTGGTTTCCAGGCAGGCGGTCAGTCTACTGAGTCAAACCAGGCAGTGCTGAATTAATTAAGCACTTAATTAATTTTAAAAAAAGATTATTTATTTATTTATTTATTTATTTTTAGGGAGGGGGAAGGGAGGGTGAAAGGGAGAGAAACATCAGTGTGTGGTTGCCTCTCACACACCCTCAACTGGGGACCTGGCCTGCAACCCAGGCATGTGCCTTGAGTGGGAATGGAACCAACGACCTGACCCTTTCTTTTTGCAGGCCAACACACAATCCACTGAGCCACACCAGGCAGGGCTGAATTTATTTTTCAAAAACATATAGAGAAAAATCTTAGTTTGTTGAATATCTCTTCTGTGAATAGTCTTTAACTTTTAAAATAAGCATTGTTGATCTCTCTCTTTTTATTTAATATTTTATTTATTCTTCTTTTCAACGGAGGGAGAAGGAGACAGAGAAACATTGATGTCTGAGAGCAACATCAATCATTTTCTTTTTGCAAGCCCTCAGGTGGGGATCCAGACTGTAACCCAGGCACATGCCATGACCAGAAATTGAACCAGTGACCTTTAACTTTTCAGGAGGATGCTAAATTGACTGAGCCATGCCAGTCAGAGCAAGACTTTGATCTTAGAAGTCATTACTTTAAAAAATACTTCTACCTTTGGCTAGTGTGGCTCAGTGGATTGAGTGCCAGCCTGTGAACTGAAAATTTGCCGATTCTATTCCCAGTTCTATTGCCTGGGTAGCTGGCCAAGTTGGGGTAGCTGGCCAGGTTGCCTCTTGGGAGTTTGTGAGAGGCAACTGAATCTCTTGCACATTTATGTTTCTCTTCCTCTCTCCCTCCCTTCCCCTCTCTCCAAATGTAAATTAATTAAAATAATTCCAGATAGTTTTCCTTTTGAACATACTGTGTATAATTTAAATTCTGAGTCCTGCATCCTTTCTACTCTTTATTATATCAGGCTGTTTCATTGTGTACTTGTTAAAGATGCCTCTAATCTTACTATAGTCAGAAGTAGCTTCAACTTTCAATTGATATTCAGCAGCTTTTTTCTTCCCTTTATGTGATTCATTAAATTAGTGACTGTGAGCCACAAAGGAGCTGTTTCTCTCAAGTTCTTCTTGTCTGTTCTCTGAAAATACTGAAGGATTGATCTGAAACATGGTTTCTGGAAAACCCATCTATTCATTGTGTTGATGAACATATTTTCAATCAAATATTTTTTAAAGTTTTCAGCATCATATCTTGCATTTATCATTTTATGTTTCTAAACTAAGTCTTTGTAATTTCTTACAAAATAAGAAAACATTTTTCCTTGGAAGCTTGTCATTTTAGAAGTTTCTGCCCCAAGTCCTAACAGTACCCAGAGGTCTGAGGTGTGCTAGGTCTGTTATCTCTGGACTAGTGCTATAGAAAACAGCTCTTGGGGAGCAGTGCAGGCACCAGGAGGGAACTAGATAAATAGGACATTTCATCAGCCCCACTGCAGATAGATCTACAGAATAATAACGAAGAGTGGGGCCCTTATTCCCTAGGGGTCTGCATGGGTATTTAAGCTAAAGTGTTTCCCTTCAGGTTACTATTATGTCACCTGAGAAGTTTGAGAAATGACATCAGCTGTGTCATCTTAGACAGAGTTGGACAACTGTCTGGGTAAAGCATCATTGTTTATTGAGGTGCTCTGGGTCATGCTAAGGTGATCCCAGGAATTTGCAGGAGTGCTTTGGGATGCATTAAAAAAAAATCCTCATTCAGCCCTGGCTGGTGTGGTTGAGTGCCATCCTGCCAACCAAAGGGTTGCCAGATTGAATCCCAGACGGGGCACATGCCTGGGTTCCAGGCCAAGTTCTTTGTTGGGGTATGTGGGAGGCAAACACACATTGATGTTTCTCTCTCTCTTTCTCCTTCCCTCCCCTTCTCTCTAAAATAAATAAATAAACAAACAAATAAATAAATAATTGATTAAAAAAATTCTCATTCATGGATATGGTTGTTGATTATAGAGACAGAGGAAAAGAGAGAGTGAGAGAAACATCTATGTGAAAGAGATGTGTGGATAAGCTGCCTCCTACACAGGCACTGAGGGGTATAGAACCCTTACCCTGACCAGAAATCAAGGTACAAAGTTTTGGTATATGGGGTGATGCTACAAAAACTGATTCACTCACATGGGTCATATTTTTTTTAATAAGAATAATTTTATTTAAACATACTCTGTCCAGAAGAAGTGGAAACAATAGACAGACTCAAAAGAAGGTCCCTTGGACTCTGGCTGGTGTGGTCAGTGGATTGAGTGCCAGCCTGTGAAACCAAAGATTTGCTGGTTCCATTCCCAGTCAGGGCACGTGCCCCAGTTGTCCAGGTCCCCAGTAGGGTGCATGAGAGGCAACCACACAGTGATGTTTCTTTCACTCTCTTTCTCCCTCCTGTCCCCTGTCTCTAAAAATGAATAAATAAAATCTTTAAAAAAAAAAGAAAGACCTGGCTGGTGTAGCTCAGTGGATTGAGCATGGGCCTGCGAACCACATGATTGCGGTTTGATTCCCAGTCAGGGCACATGCCTGGGTTGCAGGCCAGTTCCCAGCAGGGGACTCGCGAGAGGCAACCATACATTGATATTTCTCTCCCACTCTTTCTCCTTCCCTTCCTCTCTAAAGATAAATAAATAAAATCTTAAAAAAAAGAAAGAAGGAAAGAAATGCATACTGAAATTCCCAGGGACATAATGGGAGTATGCTATCAAATAATTTAGGAAAAAGTTTATTTACTATTCTTTAACTATTCTATCAGCAAGATTGTGTTAAAATAAAAACATTGGGAAAAAAAGGGCCCTGGCTGGTGTCGCTCAGTAGATTGAGTGCTGGCTTGGGAACCAAAGGGTCACAGGTTTGATTCTCAGTCAGGGCACATGTCTGAGGGCCAGATCCCCAGTTAGGGGCGCCCAAGAGGCAACCACACATTGGATGTTTCTCTTTCTCTGAAAATAAATCTTTCAAAAAAGAAGGGCCCTTGGATCTTAGCAGAAAGAAAAGACAAAGGTATGACGGCATGCCTTTGTAAAGCTGGGAGCACACTTTGCTCAGGAGAGGCAACAGAGTGCTTTCCTGGGTTTGCGGTTGAGGAGAGCAGTGCTCGTTCTCATTGCTGTATGAATTTGTGGACATCTGTGGGGGAAAGGAGCACCTGAAAAGAAGAGAAAAATTGCCAGTGTGGAGTTCGTGTAAAAGTTTACTATTCCTGATTCTCCTGTTACAAAGGACAAGGGTAGGGGACCTTTCCAGCATTTGCAGTTCTTTTTGCTTGTGGGTGTGCTGGAAGCAGATTACAGGGCTGTGTGGAAACCTTTGAATTCACATTCTCAAAATGCAGACCTGACTCCAGCAGATCATCACCTGAGAAAACAACCCAGAGCAGGAGCAGGAGCAAGACCAGGACAACATGGCTGCTTCTCAGGTAAATGATGTGTACTATGTCAAAGGTTATGTATGCTTTTCTGCCTAACATCAGTGGGTTTAGAACCTGTAACATTTATTTCTCTGCTTCTGATGTTCTTATCTACTGAGGTTGTTTTTGTCTGCTTATTTTTTTTCCTTTCTTGTGATTGTCAAGGTCAGCAGCTTATATACCTGTTCCCTTTGTCCCAGAGCCTTCTATTTATTATGTATATCCAGGCTCCCCAATGCCATGAAGAATTCTGCTTTTAATTAATGACCTTCAAGTACTAAAAACATCCCCTTTATCATGGATCCACCTGGGAAACCACTCAACACAGTAGCCTTGTTTGATGGGTGTCAGAGGCTCAGGTATTAATGAAGAAGGAAAATGTAGGTTTTAGGTTCATGTGGCTGCAGCATCAGCTCTGTAGACAAGGATAAGAAATGCTCATTTTACTGGTCAGGATAGCTCAGAAAGTTCTGACAAAGGAGACTTGATAGAAAAGACTCACTGATTTGGTGCAAAAGTCTTGCTATTTAAATGCACTACAGTATTTGTGTTCAGTACATGGGATGTACATGTGCATTGACATTTGCAAACATTAATGTTTATTTATGAACACTTTATCATAATTTATTTACTTTTAAAAATTTTTTTAGAAAGAATTTATTTATTTTTAGAGAGGGAATGGGAGGGAGAAAGAGATGGGAAGAAACAATCTATGTGTGGTTGCCTCTCATGTGCCCCCTACTGGGGACCTGGCCTATAAGCCAGGCATATGCCCTGACAGGGGTGTCAAACTGGTGACCCTTTGGTTTGCAGGCTTGCTTTTTTCAAAGTTTGTAAAAAAATACTTTAGAGATAGGTGAAGGAAGGGAGGAAAAAAAGGGAGAGGAACACCCTTATCTGGCCCACAATCCTACCCTGTTCGCTGAAGGGGAATTGAACCAGCCACCTTTGGGTTTGCAGGCTGGTGCTCAATCCACTGAGCCACACCAGCTACGGCAATGATTTGTTTTGTTTTGTTTGTTTTTTTCTGTGATGTCACAGCATGGATGCTCTGTTCTTGTGTGTGCTTAAGTCATCTGATACTCATTTGGCTTTAGTGGTCTCTTTACTATATAGTTAATAGCTTTCCTCCATCATTAACAAGGGTCTAACAAGGAATTACTGAGAGATTTGAGAAAAGCCATCATATTGCATGTGGAAACAACCCTCTCTTAGTTTTTGTTTGCTTTGAAAAATGAAGGCCCTTTCTTCATTTCCTAGAGATCATTGGCTTTTGATATGAAGGATTGAATCAATCAGGCCTTTCACCTGTAAATTTTCATTCTATTCCATGCTCATGTCACAGATATGTCCATTATAACTTTCTGTATTTTCAAGAAGGTTTACAAGACTCATATTAATGTATGTTGCATTTTGTTAAATTTCTACAATATGCCCTGGCTGGTGTAGTTCCATGGATTTAGCATAGGCTGTGAACCAAAGGGTTGCTGGTTCCATTCCCAGTCAGGGCATGTACCTGCTTGGCGGGCCAGGTCCCCAGTATAGGGCACTCGAGAGCCAACCACATGTTGATATTTCTCTCCCTCTCATACTCCTTTCCTTCCCTTCTCTGTGAAAATAAAAAAATAAAATCATAGAAAATTTCTATAACTGTTCCCTTATGGTACACAAAAATTTTAAAGGTAATAAGAGACTAAAAAACACTAGCTTTGATTTAGTTTTTATCATTATGTGCATTATTCCTTTTTTAAAAGGTAACAAAAAGACTTATGAGATATAGAGAATCGCAAAACAATTTTAATTTCATTGTCATGAAAATTGTGAAAATTGTGCTTTGTATAACTTTTTATTTCTACCTAGTTTCCATATATATATGTCTGTGTGAGTAAATGTTAACAGTTGACATATTTATATTTAGTCTTCTTACTCTTAAAGTGTTTCTGTTCTTCTCAGTTACAGAAACTCTAATGAATATCCATGAGGTCTCTTTATATGTCTTTGCGTGTTTATTTCTTTGAAAAACATTTTAGGTAAAGTTTGGAGTAAACCGTAAGAGGTATGTTTTACTGTATGGTTCAGAAAATACTCTTACAGGAAGAATAATATTGTTCTAAGTTTACTTTCACTAATTTTTCAAATAATATGTGGCTGATATTTTTGTTATTCCTTCAGAAATGTAAATTTTATAAAAGTCCGTCAACTCAAAGTCATGTATGAATTATTTTCTGTGTCTTCTTTTTTGTGCTATTCTGAAGTATGGCTTGTGAGACATTGATCTCACTAGGGAAAAGTAAGGTGGTTAAAGATGTGAAAACACAGGCCCCATCCCAGAACTTCTGAATCAGAATCTGCATTTTTACAAAACTGCAGTTCTTTGTTGGGTGAAGTAAACGTGAAGGAGTACTTATACTTTGAACTCACCATGTCTTTTCCTGCTGAGAAATGTACACAATTGATCATAAATGATACAAGTACCACACTCAACAATCCATATGCCTATATCTATTCCTTCATTTTAAAGATTTCATTTTTTTTTTAGAGAGAGAAGGGAAGGGAGGGAAAAAGAGAGGGAGAGAAATATGGATATGTGAGAGGAACATCAGTTGCCTCTCACATGCTCCCATCCCGGGACCTGTCCCTCCACCCAGTCATGTGCCATTGCCAGGAATCGAACCAGCAGACTTTTGGTTCACAGGCTGGCACTCAATCCACTGAGCCACCCCAGCTGGGGCTATCCCTTCATTTTTAAAGGTTATTTTTCTGAAAAGTAAAGTCTCTGCAGTGGATTGGTGGACATGTGTCAGTCTCAATTATCTGTGTTAGAAAATACATTAGAGAATATTACTGGGTCAAAATGATCTTGCTAGATAATTCAGTATACTCTAGGTTAAAACTACTTCTAACACTTTTCAGTCTGGGTTACATGATTAACTCTTGGCGGCCCCTTGGTAAATGTGTCTTTATTTTTTAGGTACTGTTTACCTTGAGGGATGTGTCAATAGATTTCTCTCAAGAGGAGTGGGAATGTCTGGACCCAGCTCAGCGGAAATTGTACGTGGATGTGATGTTGGAGAATTACAGGACCCTGGTCTCCCTGGGTGAGGATGACTTCCTTTCAGAGACCTTCCACCTGCAGGGTTTCCTTTTCTTTATTAATTTAAGGTCTTTGGGGGACTTAACGCTTTATATGGTAGCCTTTTAGATTCTTGCATTCAAGGGAGAAACTGAAGTTTATTATTATTCTACCAGTCTTAAGTGAGCACTAACTGGATTATAAATGGGAGAATCTCCATCAAAACTAATGTTTCTTTTATAAACAGGTTGTGTCTTCCCTCAGCCAGTCCTGGTCACTATTGTGGAAGAAATTAAGGAACTCTGGGACATGTGCAGAAAAAAGTCAATATCCACCTACCCAGGTAGGAGGGAATGGGGAAGCAGATGACACAGGTGAGAGGCCCAAAGGTCACAGAGGAAGGCAGACTTTAAGGTGTGATTTGGGAAGTTGTGTTTCAACAGAAAGAACTTTGAAAAGCCCAGGTTTATTTATGTTGCTGTCATAGAGGGCCAGCTGTTCTCCATCATGTCCCTTGCTCCCATATTATCTTGGGATTCTGGTTCTACTCCAGTGACCTCTGTCATCCTATTAGGAATTGGGGCCAGAGTCCTCCCCTTTGACTCTGAGGGCCACCATGGTCTGGCTCCTCTTTCATTGTGTTGGGGACCCAAGAAAATCTGTGCACATTGCTGAAAAATTGTAAGTTAAGTGTTATTTTTTAAGTTTTGTTTTTATCTCATGAACGGAGTATATGAAGGAAGTGGTTGAGATCCTGGAATTTGTTGCAGAAATCCCAGGAACCCTGGGGACAGGTGTCATGTTTTCTGGTTTATAATTTCTAACCCTGTGGAGGCTTCAAAGAAGATCCTACAATCTTTAGACTCAGTGAGTTCATCGCAACACAATGCATCTCCCCCAAATGAGACAATCTGATTCTCTATTTCACTTCACAATGTTGTTTTGCTTTGTATGAACTAACACACAAAATTTCCAGTTTGTAGTCTCCAATTTCTGTTAGAATAGATTAATGTGTCTCCTTACTGTATAGAGTTCTTCAATAAATCACTGCTATAAGTGGCCTTAGAACATTGACCACCATGTAGAAAAGTCTTTTATTTTTTTCCAGTACATTTTAATTTAATTTTTTCCACATTTTTTTATTATCGTTCAAGAAAAGTCTTTATTGTTAACCTGATTTGTTCATTGCGCAGTCATTTTAACATTCTCTTTTGTTCCGTCCATTGCTGCCTGAGAGACTGTGCCTTGATGTGTTTTCACTTTCTGATTAGACCTTGGGCAGATTTCTGCTTTTTTTAAAAGAAATGCTGATAGAACATGCTCAAATGTACTCATATGGCAAGAAGTGAGCTACAGAATTATTAGGCACTTTATATTTAGGAAAATGTTCAGTGGGGCTTCGGTGCTCTCTGAGTCTGCCCCATGAATGTGTCACTTGTAGAAGTGGTAGGGTTGCAGTCTGACATGGTTCTAAGCGGTTCACTGGGTGCACTGGCTCTGGATCCTCTCTTCAGGTGTGAGGTCAGCCACCACCTAGGAACTGCCCAGTTTCACCCAGCACCAGTTATAGAGCGACGTGCAGATGGTTCCTACTTGTGTTGGATTTGGAGGCCGAGATACAGTTCAAAGCCAGCTGCAGCTAGTGCTGTCTGTGCGGCCACTGAGTGAGAGGTACCGGGCTTGCAGAGGCCAGATGCGGTTTGTTTCTGAGATTAAGGAGGGTCTGAAGCACAAGGCAAAAGAAGCCATTTGTATGGAAAAGCCACTCGACATATCTTGGGTAGGCTGTCAATGTGATTGGTGTAAGGTTTTATGGAGTCACCAGGACAGGGCTACAGTGTTAGCCAGGTAGATGGAGAGTCAGTTATGGCACTGGTTGGTAGCTCTATGGTAGGAAAGGCTCAGCAAGGGAATAATTGCCTCTGCCAGGGCTGCTGTGTGGGAGAAAGCTGCCCTTCCTGTCTTTGCCCTGAAGCTAGACAATTCAGTTTCTCCTGTTACATCCCTGGTGCCTTTCAAGCTTCTGTCCTAAAGCTGGAGTTCAGAGTGAGGGTGTCCCAGTAAATCTATGTGCGGGCTCTTTAAGAGAAAGACTTGGACTCCAGCACCCATCAGTCTTACTCAGCCACAATTCCCACTGGTGTTCCAGCATGTTTCCTTTTTTATGATTGGTTCCCCTAATTTAGTTGACTGCATTTTTGATTTTCATTTCTATGTTATGAATGTGAATGATAATTCTTCAATTAGTACACTTAACATTGTGGGACTTGATTCAAATATGAATCAGCCACATGTCAGTTGCCATTAACATTATGTGCACGTTTGTGTGGTTTTTACCCTGCAGTGTTCATGACTTAACCTTGTTTCTGAGTGCTGTTAATGGTCAGTGGTTGATTGATCCTATGAATTTTGGAAATAGTCTTATATCTCTTCATAGCTGAATTTATGTTCTATTTATGTGAGAGGAAAAAACTTCTCAATTGATGTAATTTTGTAACGTTTTAACTATCCCTTTTAGATATTATATTTTATTGTATACTTTGATAAAAACTACCCTGACCTGTATGGCTCAGTTGGTTGGGCAACGTCCTGCAAATTCAGATATTGCTGGTTAGATTCCTAATCAGGGCACATAACATGCCTGGATTTCAGATTCTGTGCGTGGTTAGAGCACGTACGAGAAAGGCAGCCAATCATTGTTTCTCTCACACACTGGTGTTTCTCTCCCTCTCTTCTTCCCTCCCGTACCCTCCCTCTAAACATATAAGTATATAAAATGTTTTGAAAATCCTATGTGAGGAAAAAAAATCTTACCATCTTAACCATATATAACTCTATAGTCCAATTGTATTAAGTATATTCAATTTGTTGTGCATGTGATCATTTGAAATTTCCATCTTGCAGACAAGTCTCAGTGTCTATTAAACATCCACTTCCTCATTTGCCTGAAAACCAACGCCCAGGTGACTACCTTTTTCTTTTTTATGATGTTGACTTCATAAGACATTCACCTAAGTGGAATCCTATAGTGTCTGTCTTTTGTGACTTGTGTGCTTCACTTAAAAAAGTCCTTAATGTTTGTCTTTATAGTATCGGGTGTAACGTCTTTTTCTGTTTCTTGGCGGAGCAGTACTTAATGTATGTAGTAATTTTTAAAATTTATTTATCCGTAAACATGGGGGTTGTTTCCCCTATATAGGCTTTTGTGAGGAATACTACAATGGACACAGGTATGTACACATCTCTTACAAATCCACCTTTTAATACTTTTTGATAAATTCCCTGAGTAGAAGAGCTGAATGACGAAACAATTTTATTTTAATTTTTGTCAAACTCTTTATTGTTTTTCATAATGTTTGTATCAATTTATCTTTTATTCAATCATGTACACTGTCTAGTTTTTTCACATTTTTGGAAATACTTGGTGGTATTTGTTTCTTTGAATCTGGAGATTTTTATTTATTTATTTATTTAGATTTTATTTATTTGTCTTTAGAAGGGAAGGGAAGGGAAGGAGAGAGGGAGAGAGATATCAAGGTATGGTTACCTCTCATGTGTCCTCTGCTGGGAACTGGCTTGCAACCCAGGCATGTGCCCTGACTGGGAATTGAACCTCAATCCTTTGGTTTGCAGGCCCAGGCTCAATCCACTGAGCTACACCAGCCAGGGCTGAATCTGGTCATTTTTATTGTTGTGAAGTGATATAGTGTGTGTGTATGTGTGTGTGTGTTTCACTGGAGGATGCAAACTTTTGTTTCTTGGATGGGCATAAAGAACCATAGGAAAGGTGCATTAACCTCAGTACAGGTACTTCAGAGAAGAAGGTCTGTGAATGACTTTTTTATTTTTATTTATTTAAAAGATTTTATTTCTTTATTTTTATAGCGAAGGGAAGCGGGGGGAGAAAGAGAGGGAGAGAAACATCAGTGTGTGGTTGCCTCTCACATGACCTCCACTGGGAACCTGGCCTGCACCCCAGGCATGAGCCCTAATGGGGGAACCCAACCAGTGACCCTTTGGTTTGCAGGCTCAGTCCATTGAGCTACACCAGCCAGGGCTTAGCCTGTCAACTTTTTGTTTCATAGCACTGTGGTCAATCTACTGAGTCGTACCAGCTAGGGCTGTTAAGGATTTTAAAAAATATTTTATTATATATTTTACTGTTGTTGGCCCAGTTTTTCCCCTTTGCCCCGTTCCACCCTGCCCACTCCTTTATTTTTAGTTTTGTGAGGTCTCAAGCTCTCTTCCCAAGGGACAGTACTATTGTATATTTTCACCAGCAATGAAAGAGAGTTAGGGTTGCTCCACATCCACAGCAGCATTTACTGTTGTCAACGTTCTAGATTCCCTTCCTAGTAGGGGTTTAGTGTTGCTTGAATGTGCTGTTTGTATAACTTTCATTGTTTTAATGTGCATTTTCTCAGTGATATAAGGTGTAGAGTTTCCTTGCAAATACTAATTTTTAATCTATATATTTATTTTTAGCATGCTTTCTGTTAAGCTGTTTGTCCCTTTTCAGTAATTTATTTGTCACTGTTGAGTTTGAAAACATCTTTCTATGTCTTGTACAATAGTATGTACATACTGTCTTTTACAAATACTTTTCCCCGTCTTGTGGCTTCTGTTTTTTCTCATGATGCGGATCACTTTTTTGTTTGTTGTTTGTATTTTTCCTTAATGATTGAGACATGAGAATTTAAATCATAACACTTTGGGTTAAAAAACAAAGTTGGTAAAGAATTGGCCTTGAGAAAGTGTGAGGTACCTAAAATTGTTTGTTTTATATTCAATAACATGGATATTATATTTGTAGTTTTTTAAAAATTTTAAATAAGCACACAATGAGTCATAGCTTTAAGGAGAAGCTTATATTAAGCTTACATTGAGATATAATTTCTTTGATATTATGTGTCAACTAAAATTAAATCTCATATTTATTCTAGAGTTTCAGTACCATTATGCCAATGGTCCTTTTTTTATATATAATGCTCCATTATATATAATGCTCCTTTTTTTATGTATAATGCTCCTTTATATATAATGGTGTATATTCTGGTGGATATAATGGTGTATATTCCATTTTGAATATGTCTTCTCATATGCTTTAGATAAATCCCCATAAATGGAATTACTGTGTTATATGGTACTTGTTGGTATATTTTTGAGGGCCCTCCATTTTGTTTTCTATAGTGCTGCACCAATTTGTTTATAATCTCACTGACAGTGCATGGGGGTTCTCATTTTTTCACATCATTACCAATTCTTGTTAATTTTGTTTTAAAGATTGCATGTATTTATTTTTAGAGACAGAGGAAGGGAAGGAGAAAGAGGAAGAAAAACTTGATGTGTTAGAGATATGTTCATTGGTGGCCCCTAATACGTCCCCAACTGGAGACCAGGCCCATAACATAGGCATGTACCCTAATTGGGAATCGATCCTTTTGGTTTGCAGGCAGGCTCTCAATCCACTGTACCACACCAGCTAGGCCTGCTAATTTATTGATAATTGCCATCCTGATACATATGTGCTGCTATTTCAGTGTGGTCTCAATTTGCATTTCTGTGCTAATGAATGATGTTGAACATCTTTTCATAAGTCTATTGGCCATCTTTATGTGTTGTTTAGAGAAATATATGTTGAGGTCTTCTGCCTATTCTTTCATCAGAATGTTTGTTTTTTGGTGTTAAGTTGTATGAGTTCCTTGTATATTTTATACATTTAGCATCATTGGTGGATATCTTCCTGTGTTCAGTAGATTGGTCTTTTTTTTGTTTGTTTTCTTGATGGTTTACTTTGCTACGCAAAAATTTATTTTGTTGTAGTCTCACTTGTTTAACTTTTTTTCTTGTTTGCTATGCCTACCAAGATATATAAAAAAATGGTTTGTAAGAGCAATGGCACAGTTTATGAGTATTTCTTTGTTTCGTGGATTTAGGTCTTACATTTTAGTTTTTAATTCATTTTGAGTTTGTTTTGCTACATGGCATAAGAAAATGGTTGAAGTATATTATTTTTTGTACTGGTTCAGTTATTCTTGTACCATTTACTGAAGAATCTTCTCACCCCATTCTGTATTCCTGTTTTTTTATATTAATTAACCATATATCTTTGGCTGTTTTTAAAATTGTGTTAGTTGTTTTACCATGTTTTTCTGTAAAACTTCTTTATATATTCTGAATATGAAAGACTTATAAAATACAGGCTTCATGTAAATTTACTATATTTCACAGGCTGTGATTTTGACTCCCTGAGTATTTTCTTAAAAAAGTGCATGAGTTTTCATGTTTGGTGTGATCCCATTTGTTTACATTTACTTTGTTTACTTATTTTTGGTGTTATAATGAAAAAGTAAAACAAATCCCTAAATCTTTTCCATATATTTTTTGTATGCTTGATATTGGTCTAATGCGTGGTTTCTGTGATGTTTGATCAATTATTCATCTCCAGTATGCAATATAGTGCATGCACCACTTATTGACATGGTTTTAGCACTGTTTCACACAAAAAAGAAAAACATATTTCATATATGTTGTTAAATGGCAAGATCTTTGAACACACTGTACCCTCCATCTCTGTAGAGTCAAAAGTGGGGGGAATTGAGAGTTTCCTGATAATATTGCCATTGTGTGGCAATGGGAATTTGATCATTATGATTGCCAAAGGTAAACAACTGTTCCTTTTGATAGACCTTTTCTCGTTGTACCATTCTTAGTCTTGCTTTGAACACTTGATGCTTTTGAAGTACTCAAAAATCTACTAATATAGCCCTGGCTGGTGCATTTTTGAGTGCTGGCCTGGGAACCAAAGGGTAGCTGGTTTGATTCCCAGTCATGGCACATGTGTGGGTTTTGGACCAGGTCCACAGTTGGGGGCGTGTGAGAGGCAGCCACATATTGATGCTTCTCTCCTTTTTCTCCATGCCTTCTCCTCTCTCTAAAAATAATTAAGTAAATAAATCAAAATTTTAAAAAATGTAATAATATGTTTAGTAATTGCTTAGCTGCAACATATATTGACCTGAGTCTCCTAATTGTGAACCTTAATTTTGTATCTTTCAGATCTGACATCTGAAGACAACCAGGCCTTGTTGCAAAAGCCAGGAATAGAAGATTTAGTCTCTAAAATAATACTGGTAAGATATGAAAGGTGTACCTTTGATAGTGTAATGAAAGACTCATGAGAAAGTGTGTGACAAGAGAAAAGGATGTTAAAATGAACAGATCTTACCTGGAATAATTATTTATAATAAAATCCTTGTTATCAAAAGAGGTAAAAAATAGTAGACATTTGGGGAATCTCCCACTTTAACTGAGTTACATTTGCAGATCAAAGTGTTTCCAATTGTGAAGCTGGCAAACAGTTTTCTAAGTGAAAACTATTCTTCTAAAGGCAGTATGGAAAATCTAGAACTCTCATAATTTATGGTGTGAATAATCATTTGAATTGCCTAAAATGAAGAGTGGGATTAAACATTCAGTCAATATTTTGTAAACTTTAGTGAATTCTAATGCACAAGTAAAATTTAAATGTGATCAATAGGCAGTCCCTTTTTTAAGGAATTACCATATTTCATTGAGAAGGAATGTTTTCTTTTATTCCAAAAGAAAAACATTTTTCTTTTTGGAATAAAAATATCCCAAAATATTTTCTTTTGTATAAAATTTTCATGAACTTGGGAGTGGTTTGTGATTCAGCCTCCATATTTTAATAAGAATCTCAGATTTGGTATTTGGGAATAAGTATACATGTATAATGAAATTACAGGTGTCACTAAAGAATTTTCTATTTTCAATGATTACCAGAGTACATGTAATGAAGATAGAAGTTATGAATGCAGTGGAAATTGGAAAATGTTTAACCACAAGTCAAATAATAATAAATATCAGAATACTCATCTTCCAGAGAACCATTGTAAAGGTGAAAAAGTTTTTGACCAAATGTCAAGTCACAATATACATCAGATTATTCCTGTTGTGGAGATAACAAACAAACAAAGTAAATGTATCAAATTACTTAAGGAACCTTCTAATAGTACTGAACAAAAACATATTCCTGTTGGGGAAGAAGATTACAAATGTTTGCCGTGTGGGGAAGTCTTCAGTAAAATAGTTAATCTAAATAGACTGAAGAAAATCTGTACTGAAGAAAAACATACGTGGAAAGAATGTGATAATCGACCTTCAGGTCTGACTCTAGATCAGAAAATACATACTGGACATAAGCCTCACATATGTAGAGAATGTGGTAAATCCTTTATGTCGTTCTCAACCCTTACTATTCACCAGAGAATTCATACTGGAGAGAAGCCTTATAAATGTAGAGAATGTGGCAAAGCCTTTATGTCATTCTCAATCCGTACTATTCACCAGAGAATTCATACTGGAGAGAAGCCTTATAAATGCAGAGAATGTGGCAAAGCCTTTAGGGAGTCATCAGCCCGTACTCAGCATCAGAGAATTCATACTGGTGAAAAGCCCTATAAATGTAGAGAATGTGGTAAAGCCTTTAGCCGTTCTTCATACCTTACTCAGCATCAAAAAATTCATACTGGAGAGAAGCCTTATGAATGTAGAGAATGTGGTAAAACCTTTCGCTGGTCCACAACCTATAGAAAACATCAGACCATTCATACTGGAGAGAAGCCTTATAAATGTAGAGAATGTGGTGAAGCCTTTCGCTGGTCCTCATCTCTTACACACCATCAAAAGATCCATACGGGAGAGAAGCTTTATAAATGTAGAGAATGTAGTAAAGTCTTTTCCTGGTCCTCATCCTTTAGAAAACATCAGAAAATCCATACTGGAGAGAAGCCATATAAATGTAGAGAATGTGGGAAAGCATTTCTCCAGTCATCAATCCTAACTCAACATGAGACAATTCATACTGGAGCAAAGCGTTATAAGTGTAGAGAATGTGGGAAAGCCTTTTGCTGGTCCTCAGGCCTTAGACAACATAAAAAAATGCATACTGCAGAGATGTCTTATAAATGTAGACAGTGTGATAAAGCCTTCCGTCATTTCTCAAGGCTTAGACAACATCAAAATATTCATACTGGACAGAAGCCTTATAAGTGTAGGGAATGTGGTAAAGCCTTCCGCCATTTCTCAAGGCTTAGACAGCATCAAAATATTCATACTGGACAGAAGCCTTATAAATGTAAAGAATGTGGTAAAGCATTTCACCAGTCCTCAACTTGTAGTACACATCAGAAAATTCACACTGGAGAAAAGCCTTATGAATGTAGACAATGTGGTAAAGCCTTCCGCCAATTCTCAAAGCTTAGTCAACATCAAAATATTCATACTGGACAGAAGCCTTATAAATGTAAAGAATGTGGTAAAGCATTTCACCAGTCCTCAACTCGAAGTACACATCAGAAAATTCACACTGGAGAAAAGCCTTATGAATGTGGAGAATGTGGTAAAGCCTTTTGTCGGTCCTCATCCCTTACAAAACATCAGGTAATTCATACTGGGGAGAAGCCTTATAAATGTACGGAATGTGGTAAAGCCTTTCGCTGGTCCTCATCACTTACTCATCATCAGGGAATTCATACTGCACAGAAGCCTCCTTAGAGGGTGTGGCAAATCCTTTGGATTCCTCAAATCTTTCTCAATAGAATTCATAATGGTTGAAAAGCCATGTAAATGTAGGGAATATGGTCCTTTAGTTGGTCTTCAGCCCTTATAATCAGACTAATCATACTTGAGAGAAGACATGTAATTGTGGATCATATAGGAAAAGCCTTTTATTCACTCCTCAAAACTTATCCCTACATCAGGTCGTTCATACTGGAGAGTCACCATATAAATGTAAGTGCCAAATCTTTTCATCATCAGTAGTGTCTTCACCAACAGGAAAGAATTTATCCTGGAGGAAAACGTCAAATGTAGAGAATGTGGCAAAGCTTTTACCCTGTGTTCAAAACTAACTCAACATTGGAGACTTCAAGCTTGAAGGAAACAAAAAATGTGAAGAATTTAACAAAACTTTAACCATTGTTCAAGCCTCTTCAAGGTTAGAGAATTTATATGGAAGAGAAGTCTTAAAAATATAACACATTTGTGAAAGTATTAGGAATGTATGTAATTTAAACAATTTCAAAATATCAGAGAATTCACAGTAGAATGTTAAAAATAGTTTTCATGTGTTGCTATAAATCAGAATACTTACTATTAGAGAATCATCCAAAATTTAAAAACACAGATCATTACTTTATAGTGTGTTTCAAAATGTCAAGGGGCTGGATGACTGGATATGTGTACTTCCTCAGAATATATACTATTGCATAATGATGGTGTTTGAAATATTTTGAGAAAGAAACATTACTATGATTCCAATCTCTTGTTTGTTGATGCTGCTATGTCTTTATTCCCAGTGTATATGTGAAATCATGGGGTTGATTGTTGGCTCCTTAAAAATCTGTGAACTCTTGAACTGAGCTACAGAGACCTCATAGCCATTCTTTTTTTTTTTTTTAAGATTTTATTTATTTTTAGAGAGAGTGGAAGGGAGGGAGAAAGAGAGGGAGAGAAACAGCAATGTGTGCTTGCTTCTTGTGTGCCCCCAAGTGGGGACCTGGCTTGCAACCCAGGCATGTGCCCTGACTGGGAATTGAACCAGCAACTGTTTGGTTCGCAGGCCAGCACTCAATCCATTGAGCCACACCAGCCAGGGCCTCATAGCCATTCTTGTTTGAAGTGCTAGGGTGACAGCACCCTCTCCCACATCAGCCAAGAAAGCCCTTTTGGTCTGATCAGAGTTTGGAAATTTTCTAACACAATGACACATCAGAATTTGTTTAATATTTTTATTATATCTTCTGAAAAAATGAAGATTACAACTCATGGTGAACCCTGTGATTTTGAATGTGAATATGGGTTTTTGGAAAGTAACTAATGGCATTTCTGTGTTTGAAAATTAGAATGATCTGCCTTGACTGGAATGGCTCAGTGGGTTTGGTGTAGTCCCCTACACTGAAGGAGTCCCCGAAAGGTCTCCCATTCAGTTCCTGGTCACAACATGTGCCAGCATGGCAGCTGAGGATGTGAGAGGCAACTGATCCACGTTTCTCTCACACGTTGATGTTTCTCTCCTTCTCCCTCCGTTCCTCCCTCTCTCTAGAAATAAATAAAACTGATTTAAAAAAGAAAATTAGAATGACTGTTCTGGTACTGATTTTCATTAGAGTCCTTGAGAAGTTCTCAATGTTACATCATTATCTTCTTTACTGAAATAAAAGAGGACAAGTTGAACACATTTTATTCTCAATCATAAATGTAGCCAACTCTTGGTCATTCTTTCTGGAGAAATCTCAGAGTCCATAGCAGACTTTGGGGTGAAACATTTTCTTTATTATTTTGGACACAAATTTCTTTTCTGTGTTTTGCTTAGCTAGGGATGTACCCATTGGCCCACTGGTATCTTGAGTGTATTTCAAGCCATCAGCACCATTTCCAGGAATTTCAGGTGGGGAAAGTTTAACGTGGAAGTCCCAGAGTCCATTGGCTTTTTCAATGTCCTGTGCTGGATCAGTAGAAGCTGCTAAATATTAGTACCTAGGCATGGACCTGCCCAGAAAATGAGCATGCATACTATAGAAACTAGATACTGAACACTGTTCTACTTTACTTCCTGACATAGTTACAGACACAATATATGCAGCATTATTTATATGCATCTACTGATGTTTTGTATCTAGGACTCACTACTTGGATCAGTGGTTTTATGGTTTTAGTTTTGTTACAAGACAAAAGTCCAGTGCACAGAATGTCCATAGGAATAAAATCTCAGCTGTATGAGTTTTTCCATTTTCAGGTATATAACAGTGAAGAAGATTGAAGAGGTGTATGAATGCAAATATTACCTGCGTTAATTTTTGTAGGTTTATTCTGGTCATTTAAAAAACACATATTGCCCTAGGTTTAGAGTTAATTCTCTCTTAATTGTGTTCAGAATACATATTCTTTCGCTTTGGGGTAAAATTCTCTAAATGTGCCAAATCCATCTCCTTTTACATCTCATTTAAAACTGCTTTTGTTGTTGTTGTTGATTTTCTGTCTGTTAGATCTATCTGTGGATGTCAATGGAAAGTTAAAATCCCCTACTGTCACTGTATTGCTGAATTTAAAAATTGCCATAACTATATACCTATCAGTAATCACTTGAATATAAATGTATTAAATGATCAAATGAAAAAGAGAAAGTAACCCTGACCAGTGTGGCTCTCAATTGGTTGGGCATTGTATTGCAAAGTGAAAGGTCTGTAGTTCAATTCCTGGTCAGGGCACATAACTAGGTTGCGATTCAGTTACCAGATGGGGCACATAGATGAGGCAACCGATTGATGTTTCCCTCTTTCTCCTTTTCCTCTCTCTAAAAATAAATAAATCTTTTTAAAAATTGGGTAGTGAATAGTTAGAACAAAAGCCATGAATATGCTGTCTACACTTTAGATGAAAAGATACAAAGTGAAAATCAAAAGGTAAAAAGTTACTCAGCTCTATCTTTGGGCCTGAGAAGAACCTGCTCTGCAGAGAATTCCGTTCTAGTGAGACATCTCATAGTGGACTGTGTACACATAATAGGCATGAAAATAACTGTGCTAATAGTGAGCTGACTATGTGGTAGAGGTAAATTTTAACAGAGTCAACGTGTATACGGTTTTTAGATACCCAGAAACTTGTTTTGGCAGGTCCTCAGGCAGGTCAGAGCAGGTCTTATGGGTAACTCATGGAAACATACTTTTTGTTTGGTTGGTTTTTATTTATTTTTTTAATTAAAAAATTTTTCAAGATTTTATTTATTTATCTTTAGAGGGGAAGGGAAGGAGAGAGGGAGAGAAATATCAATGTATGGTTGCCTCTCATGCATCCCCCACTGGGAACTGGTCTGCAACCCAGGCATGTTCCTGACTGGGAATAGAACTGCAATCCTTTGGTTTGCAGGCCTGTGCTCAATCCACTGCGCTACACCAGCCAGGGATGTTTGTTTGTTTTTTAAATGTGAACCATTTAATTGATGATTGATTACTTTCTCTTGGAAATTTGGAATTGCAATAAAGAAAAGTCTATGCCATTGTGAAAAAAGGTATTTCATTTGAATAGAAATTTTAAAATGCTGTGGTAGCCATACTTATGTCAAAAGGAAAAAATTAAAAGAGAGGCTACAAAAAGAAAGAAGGATATTTCATAATTACAAATGGATCAATTTCAGAAGACTGTAACCCTTGTAAACATTAATGCACCCAATGTAAGAGCATCTGAGTATAGACGGCAAATACTATTGAGCATAAAAGGAGAGTTGGACCTTTTTAAATTTGGTATGCATTGTCAGAATTACTGAAATATTAGGGATTGTAAACCCTTATAAGGTCTGTAACTTATATTATTTTCTCCTTTTTGATAGACTTTTTACTTATGTGATAGTGCCCTTTATTGCACAGACCACTAATTTTGATGAAGACTGACTTCTCTTACGTCATCATCTCTCTGTTTTTTGAATTGGTGTTATATCTAAAAATCTACTGGCAAATCCAAGGTCATGAACATTTAACCCTATGACTTTATCTAAGAATCCTATATGCTTACTTCTTACATTTAGCTCCCATATATTGATAGCTTCTATGTCTTGGCTACATTGACCATTTTTTAATTTAAAATACCTACTGAATCTGCCCTGGATGGTGTGGCTTAATGGGTCAAGAACCGGCCTGTGAACCAAACGGTCACTGGTTTGTTTTCCAATCAGGGCACATGCTTGGATTGCAGGCCAGGTTGGGGTTGCACAATAAGCAACAGGTTGATGTTTCTCTCACACATTGGTGTTTGTCTCCCTCTCCCCCTCCTTTCCCCTCTGTACCTATAAATACGTACATAAATAAAATGTTTAAAAATATAAAACACCTGCCCTGGCTGACGTAGCTCAGTGGATTGAGCGCGGGCCTGTGAACCAGAGTATCGCGGTTTGATTCCCAGTCAGGGCACATGCCTGGGTTGCAGGCCAGTTCCCAGCAGGGGACTCATGAGAGGCAACCATACATTGATATTTCTTTCCCACTCTTTCTCCTTCCCTTCCCCTCTCTCGAAAAATAAATAAATAAAATATTTAAAAATATATATATAAAACACCTGTTGAGGGAGAGTGCTAACCACCAGGTTTTTGTCAGATAGGTGTGCATGAATAAAAAATATTTTCTGTTAAAAAATACTGTGTACATAATTTTTTATTTTAAAAAATTTTTATTGAATTGTGACATTAGTTAATAAAATTATATATATGTCTCAGGGGTATAATTATATATTATATCATCTACATATTGTATGTTCAACATCCAAAGTCAAGTGTCCTTCCATCAACATTTATCTTTCCTTTACCCTCTTGTCCCTTTCCACACCCCCCCTTTTGCCATTATGTTTTGTGAAGGAGGGTTTTTTTTTTTTGCCTAAGTACTTATGTACATGTTAAACCAAATTGTGTAATAAAAACTTGTTAACTTAAGCCCTGGCTAGTGTGGCTCGGATTGAATGGCAATTTGTGAATCAAAGGGTTGCGGATTCAATTCCAAGCCAGGGCACAGAAGTTGGGTTGCAGGCCAGGTCCCCAGTAGGGGGTGCATGAGTGCAACCACACATTGATGTTTCTCTCCATCTTTTTCCTCCCCTTCCCCTCTGTCTAAAAATAAATAAAATCTTTAAAAAATTAAAATAAAAAAGGGGCATTATTTGTGCCAGACCCTGTACATTCAGCTGTGCTTGTTAACTTGGTTCTATCAGTCAAAATGAAATGGAATGACAAAAATGTAAAACAAACAAACAAA